ACATGGTATACAGACGGATCTAAAACTGCGGAAGGCACTAAGGCGGGAGTATTCTCCAAAAACCCTGATACTAACCATAGCTATGCTATAGGAATACATTCCTAGGTATTTAAGGCCAAGGTATACGCAATTTTGCAATGTGCAAAAACGAACAATGAAAGAGCTGTCGAAAATCAGCATATTTAAATGATGTCAGACAGCCAAGCGGCACTTAAGGCCATATCGAGTCAGAAAGTTACGTCGAGGCTGGTATGGGAATGCATCGAAGAAGGTATGGGAATGCATCGAAGAACTAAGAAAACTGGCAGATCGAAATAGAGTAAAACTATTTTGGGTGCCAGGTCACCAAGGGATCGAAGGCAACGAAAAGGCTGACGAACTTGCAAAAAGAGGGTCAGAAGAAACACCGAAACCAGACACAAACCCAGGAGTACCAAAAAGTACAGTCCGGGGTTTCATAAACGACTGGATTGGGGAACAACATATTAACTATTGGGGAAGCACCCCAAAACAGGCACATGGGAAAGCCTTCATAGACAGACCATGTCCCAAAAGAACTAGAGAACTACTCTTTATGAATAGGAAGCAGTTGAAAGAGATAACAGGGTTTATGACTGGGCACGCCCTAGTAAAGGGACACTTGAACAAAATTGGCATGTACAATGGGAACTCATGTGCCGACTATGTCACAAGAAACCAGAAATGGCCAAACACATACTGTGCGAATGCGAAGCTCTAGATCACAAAAGACAGGCTCTTTTTGGAGAACCCCAGGTTGATCCAATAACGTATAGAACCCACTCACCCAAGGATCTGTACAAACTTGTACAAGGTACAAATGTGACAGAGTGGGTGCTATGAATGGGGTAAAACACAATAGGCCAATAGGCTTCAGTGTTATTCGGAGACATACTTTCTGAATTACTCACAAGAGTACAAGCTATCTTAATCAACAGATAATACAAACTAACCATTTTAAAAATAATACATTACCTAAAACCTACCCAAACAATAAATTGTGTATACCTTTGTAGTGGGTATTTCCCAAGGTATTAACAAAAATATTTATGTAAATACACCCAGAACTACAAACTGTAGTTACTTGACAAAGTTTCATGATTTGCGATGCGGATTATTCATTGATAAATTTAACCATAAATAAAAAGCAATTTTTATGCCTAATATTCCAATATCTTTAAAAAATACAAATAAATCTTTATTTGCATAAAAGATGAAAATTATGCAAACTGCATATTTTCCTTCGTCTAATTATTAGTAAACCTATTACTATTTTACAAGCAGAAAAGCTTTAGTAGAAACTTACATATATCTTCATCTTTATAATCTGGGTTAAATATAGTCCCGAATACAGCATCATCTATTCTCCAGTTTCATACATGTTCAAGTAATGTTTTTGTTTTTTTTAGTCTATACTTGTACCTATTCGCGATTCAAACTAAGTGATACGCCCTCTGGAGGAAATTTGTAGAAGGTCCGTGTAAGTAGGATATCATTCAGTGTTGCCAGAAGTAGCAAAATTTCGCTACGTCGTCGGATTTTATCTCGTGAAGAAGTGGACAAGACCTTTTATTTAAGAATCAAAATTTGTGTCTAGTAATATGTAATCATACTCTATATTTATTTTAGGATTTTTTTATAAAACCGATTTATTATATTGAATTTTCTTAAATTTCACTTCATTTATTAATTTTGCTTTAAAATCAGTTCATCATTTGGCAACATTGGCGTTCCTGTTCATTGTTTACATTTTAATTTGTATCAATTACAATTCGAGTTTTTTCTTACTTTTTAGCTTTAAATTTGATTTCTTATGTGATAGTGATTATATTAAAAATGAAATCTGGCGGAAAAGCCCCCAGCAAATTGCAATCTATATGGTGTTAATGTCAAAATCAAAACTGAAGTATTGATTATTTTCCAAGTGCAAGTCATAAAATTTTGTTTCTTACGATAAATCGATATCTACAAATTCACAATATTGAAATTTTGCAAAACTTTGTTTAGAATCAAACTGAAATCTGATTTGTGACGGTTTTATTACAATTTACATGCAAATAAAGTACTACACATTCACTTCATAATATAAGAATAATGATAGTAAGATTTTTAAATAAGTTCATCAATAATATACGTCTGGTACCTGAAATGTCCTTCAAACCACATAATAAAACATGTCCTGGGTTTAGTAAATACATATTTATAGATGTTCTTGTAGCAACCAACAGGTGAATATTTCCAACAAATTAACGCCCGTATGCACCGTACACGTTTAATCCAGATTAAGGGTTTAATCGCGTTTAGTACCATTTTTAGCGATGCACCGTAACAAACATCATTCTTAATCCGATTTTATTCTAATCCGTCGACATCGGTGGATCAAACTATCTAAAGCCTTGGTTTCTTTAAACACTCCGTCGCGGTGAGCGGATAGTCCGTCGACCGCTAAGGACAGCAATTTTCGCCCGAGGTGGTTTGTTAAAAAATATAGAAAATGATACTTTCTCTATGTCTATACGTGCTGTTTATGTATTATGAATGTAAACGAAAGGTACTAAAATGGATGCAAATAAATTGTTTGCGTTGTTATTATTGTTGGAAGAGGAAGAACAAGAGGAACTGGCAATTGCAACCGTCAGTTTCCAATAAGCCAGTGGATGAGTTGTTTTTGTGTCGCGATACAGAAGGTGCAGCGGAGGCTTTTTAGAAATGAAACCAAATTTAGGGAGTATTTTAGACTTTCTACAGATCTTTTTGAATTCGTGTTGAGTTTTATAAAGGACATAATTTCCAAGAAACCTAAAAATAAAGTCATGATGTCATCTGTATGTGTGAATTTGTCACTCATTGTTTTAAAATTAATAACAATATAGTCTCCGCACAGGCCGACGATTCCGCTGATATCAAACTCAACAGATATCAACCGACTCTTCGCAACAAATCAGCGGCATGACGCCGTCCTGCTCAGCTAAGCGGATTCAAGAAAACCATTCCCATTTAAATACTCTGGTTGGATAAAATCGTCAAAACGCGACGGTTGACGGAGTGTCCGCTCACCGCGACGAAGTGTTCAAAGAAACCAAGGCTTAATCGAGATTTTCTTACGTCAAATGTTTTGTCAGTATATTTGGAACTTTCTATTTGTGTTTCTTTTATTTGAATTTTAATAAAAATCGAAAATAGAATACCAGCTTTTCTTGGAAGATGATGAAGATTCTCGACAAAATTACTAGAGAAGTGAATATTTTTATACGATGGACAACTTTTGTCATTTTTAAGAGGTTTTTATATTCTAACGTTACAGCATAATTCTGTAGTTAGATGGCAAATCCAGATACGTTGAAAAATATAAAAAAAAGTAAGCAATAGGTACATATATTTATTTGATTTTGTCCACTTTCAAATACTGATAATGTCATATCTAGTTTTGAACATGCACAGTATAGGGAATAAAGTATTCAAATAGGTATATCGTTTTGCATAAAAAAGCTTGAAATACAGCAGCTTGTATGTGTATATGTTAAAATTATCAATAATAGAATTTTTATAAAATAATTTGACATTTTTTTTCACCCTGCGTAGAATTCGGTATGCGTTTTACGGTGTGTTTACGGTTTTGGTACATTTATAAAATAGGGCTTCTATTTTCATCGGCCTTTTATCCTCTGACAAACATTTTTCCTACTCAAATCTGACGTTTTCTTCTTCTCTTTTTTGTGAAATTTATAAAATTCCAGTGTTGTCAGATTACTAAACTCGATTATCTAATCCGTAGCCGGTGCATAGAAAATAATCACTAGCCATTTAAACGAGATTTGCAAATCTGGATTATATTTTAAAACGATGCATATGGGCGTAAGTCATACACATGATAAATATTATATTTATGTCGAAAGCACGAGAACTAAACTTTAATTAACACTAAATGAAACTCAAAAACACTATTACAATGAGAATATTATCTAAAAACAGTTAAACAATCACAAATACAAAATCCGTCCTTAGCAAACACATGTAAATAAACAAACATCCTACTTATGGGTGACAAATGACAGGCGCGCGAAAATTAATTTGAATCGCGAATATTTGTCCAAACACATTGTACAGAGATAAGGGAGATAAAGATAGAAAACGCTCATAAGAAACCAATGCTTAACAACGACCAGCTTTAACGCAGTTCACATATGGCGCTTTCATCGATATCAAACAAATAACGCAGCGGGAAATTTAAAAACCTGATAATAAAGGTTGTATAAATATCGACTGTACTCTTACGTTCTGGTAAATAAATTTAAACAATGTAATTACGCTAAATTATTTATTACACTTACAGTCTATTATCGATTAATTATTGTAAATCTATTCATGACAAATATTTTTTAATTTTTGATCGTTGTTTGTAGCATTAATATTCTTGTTATTTTCGTATGGCCAATGGTGTGTTATTCAAAAATGTTGAGTACAAACTCAATAATGGGAATTCAGATATTTTTTTTCCTATATCATATGTTTTTTCTAACGTTTTGAATCCATTTTCTTGTTCTAAAACAATAAATAATAAAATAAAAACCTACTTTGTGAGAAAAGTTGACTACTATTTGTGTTACACATGAATAGATCTTACTTTGGTTAATTAAAGAATGCCACAGTGGGGTTGTTACACTTATTCATGTGGCATGTGTTACCAATGCCATACCGTGTCCGACTTATTGTAATATTACAAAATATATTTATTGTCCTCAACACAATCATGAACTCAAAATTTAATATTCAAATTCAGGATTCTACGATATACATACAACTAAGTGACATTTATATTTACAAACTGTCCACTGCTGTCCACGTCTACTGTCTGTCTACAAACGAAGTGTACCTTTAGTTAACATCTGAGACGCATAGATGACGCCATCGTTGCTGGGGTCGTTGCGATTCCTGTCTTTATGGCCCTAGTCTCTGACATTGTATGCATTTTAAATACTAACCTGATAAAATTTTTTCACAAACTGCGTTGATCTGACTCATTTCATCTCTTAATGTATCTTTTTCAACATTCAGAGTCTCTATTAATCTCTGCTTTGAACACACATCCTTTTCCAAGCACATTTTTTCAGCTAAACATTTTGTGAGGGCATCTTTAAATTCCTGCAAAACATTTTTAGATACTTGTTTCGTATAATTTTTCTTTAATTGAATACCTTTTCGTTACCACGCGAAATATTTAAATCATTGTGCAATTTTTGGGTATTGTTTTGTAAATATTTTACACTGTCGTCTATGCGATCTTTTTCTTGTCGTAACTACAAAAAAACTTGTATTATATCTATTTGAATTTTTTAAATTATTATAATAAACATTTTTTCTAATTTTGACATAATATATAAAGTGACATTTTTTGTAACCGCAGCAAATGTCAAAGTAAACTCCTTACATGCAAAAAAAAATACTTTTTAAGAAACGTTTTTACTTTCCTATCTGTATACAGATATAAGGAAAGTATAGGAATCATGATTTTTTTCGACCTCGAGTTTTCGACGGATTTTTACGTTTTGAGGTCCCCTGAATCCGTTCTGACTATTTTCGCGATGATGTCTGTGTGTGTGTGTGTGTGTGTGTGTGTGTGTGTGTGTGTGTGTGTGTGTGTGTGTGTGTGTGTGTGTGTGTGTGTGTGTGTGTGTGTGTGTGTGTGTGTGTGTGTGTGTGTGTGTGTGTGTGTGTGTGTGTGTGTGTGTGTGTGTGTGTGTGTGTGTGTGTGTGTGTGTGTGTGTGTGTGTGTGTGTGTGTGTGTGTGTGTGTGTGTGTGTGTGTGTGTGTGTGTGTGTGTGTGTGTGTGTGTGTGTGTGTGTGTGTGTGTGTGTGTGTGTGTGTGTGTGTGTGTGTGTGTGTGTGTGTGTGTGTGTGTGTGTGTGTGTGTGTGTGTGTGTGTGTGTGTGTGTGTGTGTGTGTGTGTGTGTGTGTGTGTGTGTGTGTGTGTGTGTGTGTGTGTGTGTGTGTGTGTGTGTGTGTGTGTGTGTGTGTGTGTGTGTGTGTGTGTGTGTGTGTGTGTGTGTGTGTGTGTGTGTGTGTGTGTGTGTGTGTGTGTGTGTGTGTGTGTGTGTGTGTGTGTGTGTGTGTGTGTGTGTGTGTGTGTGTGTGTGTGTGTGTGTGTGTGTGTGTGTGTGTGTGTGTGTGTGTGTGTGTGTGTGTGTGTGTGTGTGTGTGTGTGTGTGTGTGTGTGTGTGTGTGTGTGTGTGTGTGTGTGTGTGTGTGTGTGTGTGTGTGTGTGTGTGTGTGTGTGTGTGTGTGTGTGTGTGTGTGTGTGTGTGTGTGTGTGTGTGTGTGTGTGTGTGTGTGTGTGTGTGTGTGTGTGTGTGTGTGTGTGTGTGTGTGTGTGTGTGTGTGTGTGTGTGTGTGTGTGTGTGTGTGTGTGTGTGTGTGTGTGTGTGTGTGTGTGTGTGTGTGTGTGTGTGTGTGTGTGTGTGTGTGTGTGTGTGTGTGTGTGTGTGTGTGTGTGTGTGTGTGTGTGTGTGTGTGTGTGTGTGTGTGTGTGTGTGTGTGTGTGTGTGTGTGTGTGTGTGTGTGTGTGTGTGTGTGTGTGTGTGTGTGTGTGTGTGTGTGTGTGTGTGTGTGTGTGTGTGTGTGTGTGTCTGTCTGTCTGTCTGTCTGTCTGTCTGTCTGTCTGTCTGTCTGTCTGTCTGTCTGTCTGTCTGTCTGTCTGTCTGTCTGTCTGTCTGTCTGTCTGTCTGTCTGTCTGTCTGTCTGTCTGTCTGTCTGTCTGTCTGTAGGTCGCATAACTCATGAACCGATACACAGAAAAACACCAAATTTTAAACTTAAGCTTTATTCCAGCGTCTTATAAACTGATTAGATTTTGGTCAGAGTCGGAACATCTGGGGGGGTACTTTATGGGTGGTCATTTTTATATTTTATGGAATATATCTGTTATTTACGTTTGGAGAAGAAAATTCTTCAAATAAAAGTTACTTCTAATATAATTATCTATAATTTTTGTTCTATACAAAATTTTCCTTAAATGGTCCATATTCGAGAAATTTGACAAAATGTAAAAAAAATATTTTTTTATAAAAATTGTTTAAATAAAAGTTGTTTGTAATAGAATTCTCTATAATTTTTATTCTATGCATAATTTTTCTAAAATGGACCGTATTCGAGATATTTGAGAAAATGTGTAAATTTCGAATTTTGAAGAAAACTCAAAAACGGATAAAGAAAAAAACATTAAATTTTAAACTTAAGGTTAATTTCGGCCTGACGTAAAATGATAAGATTTTGGACAAAGTCAGAACATCTAGGGGGGTACTTTATGGGAGGCCGTTTTTATATTTTATGGAATATATCTGTTATTTATGTTTGGAGAAGAAAATCGTTCAAATAAAAGTTACTTCTAATATTATTATCTATAATTTTTGTTTTATGTCAAAATTTCCTGAAATGGTCCATATCCGAGAAATTTGACAAAATGTGCAAAACTCCGATTTTTATGAAAATTGTTGAACTAAAAGCGATATCGATCTCTATAATTTTTGTTTATACATGATTTTTCTAAAATGGACCGTAATGGAAAAGTGCTAAATTTAAATTTTTCAGTATTTTCGTTTTCAATGAATATGTATAGAAAAATGTTTCGAGGTAGATGTATGTGGACAATGTATATATTTAGTTTATCCTCTAAACATTTATAGAGATGCTGCAATAGGTTGTACAAAATAACCGGAAAAAGCCTATAATAACTAGATAGGAAAGTCATGTGTTGGACACATCAGATTTTTTGTACTGTGATACTCTTTTTAACCGACTTTAAAACTTCGAGCATATATATTTTAAAAAGGAGGTTCTCAATCCATGGCAATATTTTATTTATTTATTTATTTTTTTATGTATGTTCAGCGATAATTCTTTAACACGGTATCCGATTTCAATGATTCCTTTTTTGTTAAAAAGGGGATACGTCAGGAGTGGTTCCATATAAATTTAGTTAAGATGTGGGGATGGTATCTGCACGTTTTTGAAGTCAGTTTTTTTTTTTAATTTTTAATTTCTAATACTTGTAACTATATTGATCTAGGAGGATATCAAATAGAAGAGGGAGACTTACCTTACTTGAAGCCACTTCAAATCCTACACTTCCTTGAGAAAATAGGATTGGAAGGGTCGCTATAAGCATTGAGATATTTCCTTAGTGCAGTGGCGACAGAAGGGGGCATAATAGATCTTTTAGGTCGCAGTGTATTAACACCCCATTCTCAACATAACATAACTATATTGATACATAGAATATGACTAACTCAAATAATTATTAATTATACCGGGTGTTAAAGTTAAATACCGCCGAAAATATGCATTTTATAAAAAAAAATGTTTCATACAAAAGTTTTATAGTTTTTTGGGGGAAACAGTTTGGCGAAATTAATTTTTTTATAGATGACCATAATATGGCCTTATCGAGGTGGACTTTCTTATTTTAAATAAGAACCCCATTTTTTTACATATTCTTAAAGTTCATAAAAAAATAAGAACCTTTTAAAGAAAACATTTTTTTATTGGACTTTTACTTACTGAATAACACCTACTTAAAAATTGTGCTGCGCGAAAAAAAAGTTTGCCATATTACGGTTTGCTATAAAAAAAATGTTTACCTCAACACTTTAATTTGAACAACCGGTATAAGACATTAACAAATTTTTAAATTTAAAATTTATTTAAATGACAATATAATATCAAAACTGTTCATTAAAATTTATTATTAAAGGAAAAACATTTCCTTGAGGAGCTGTCAGAGTTGGAACGCGTTTGTTAATACCTTTAATCAACCATTTGAGAACGCGCGACCGACGACAGACGACCGACGACAGCAGTAAGGCGGCAAATATTGCCTTACTAAATCTGCTTTCGTCGGTCGCGTATGCCGAAATGTGTTTTATATAAGTACATGTGCTCTGACGTGAAGAGACCGTGTTCGGTCTCGTTCGCTGTCGCTTCGCGTTTGGAGTCAGTCTCGGTCTCAGCTTGCGAAATGGTAGCTTTAGGGTACACATATAGTGAAGCGGCGAGGGCAGAGAAACGCGGTGAGGGTAGGGGCACCACACGAGATACACGATTATAGTGGCGCGACGATCTAAAAAGTTAACCGAACGAGACATGTATAAATTTCATATAGTTTACTATTTGCTTTTTAGTTGTTAAGATGTTTTTAGACAGTGAAGACAAATTTGTGTTTGATAATGCAGCACTTAGCCAACTACTGATAACCAGTAGGCAATATAAGGTACACCCAGTAAAGGAAAGAAGAAGTAAGGTGGAACAATATCATAACCTTTTCCTAAACCTAAAAGAATGTCCTGATAAGTTTCTTAAATACTTACGTATGGATTTACCAACCTTTAATTATGTACTAGAAAAAGTGGCCAGTCACTATTGATTTAAAATATAGTGGGAAATAAGAATGGCCCGCTTACCTCTCCGCGTGCCTTTACCCTCGCTCCTTCACTATATTTGTACCCTTAGAACGCGTATTGGCGATGACACATGAGATTTATTTAAAAAAAAATCTCAATTTTGAGGAAATTGGCATTTATAACGTTTATAATTTCAACTCTTTAAATATTCTAGTCAAAATTAGAAAAAATGTTATATTTAACACGTTACGAAATTCCGTTTTATGTAACTCGTTCATGTTGCATGACCTCGCTTTGCTCGTCCGGCAAATATTCACTCATTACATAAGATGAGACATTTCGTAATTGGTTACATACATAGCTATTAATTTACTTCAAATATGAATTGGTCCATTTGTCTAACATTTTCGTTATAAGTCTTCAGTTCTAAAACTAGCCTTTCTTCTAAATGATTTATTTTTAATTTATCATCCTCTTGCTCCTCTTCTAGTTGTCTAAGTTTATCTTCCGTAGTTTTCCTTTCTATTTCGAGATCGCTGATTTGTTTAGCTTGTTCTACGATTTGCTTACGTTGTTCGTTTACTAATGCCCTCTGATCTTCAATTTGTTTTTTATATTCATCTATTATGTTTTGTTGTTCAATTTGCTTGTCTGTGGTTCGATTTAAAAAATCTAACTATAAAATATATTATTTTAAGTATCTTGTAACGTGAAAATTAGACCTAAGTTCGTTTTTTAATTTTTTCTTTTTACCCTGTATATATATTTGACACCTAATAAATCAATAACACCAGTAAACTTGGTCTATGTAAGGATTATTTCAGAGAAATGGGTGCCTACTGTATGTCAACCCGTATAGCACTTTAGTGTATAGTGTGTTGCCTATAAAGCCTGCGTAAATTACTATAATTTTTAAATACGAGCAACGATCGTTTTTATTTTCGTTTTAACTCGGTTCATCCTTCCTTTTGGTTCGACACGTTTGATGTGTGAACATTGTAATTTTTAATGGCCACATGTTTGGTAAGTTTATTTTAAATATTTGGATTTTAAAAAAGACATTCTTATGGGGTATTTTCTTTTTTTAGGATATCACGGCCAGGGACCATTTTAGTGTATCGACATTAGGATACGCTCAGTGTTAGTTAAAAGGCAATGATATTTTCAAGTCGTGGCTTGTGGAGCCATATTTTTTTTACCTAATTTTTGGAGACGAAATGTTAATCGTTATTGCACGAGTCCAAAAACAAATATTGATATTGTAGAAGGCATTTTACAACAGCACCCTAGGCTGTAGTGGTGAAGTATGTTGTAACGTAACCTTTTGAATCACAGTGTATGCCATGGCCAGGAAGAACTCTCTCTGCCCCATGGGATTTTATTATTATTATTATTATTATTATTATTATTATTCACTGACATGAGCTGAGAACCGAAGTCCTATGAAGCTCATATTATTTAAAAATTTTTAGTTAAAAATAAACAATTTTTTTCAATCTATAAACTATATCTATAAATTGATATTAAAAAAAAAAAAAAAAAAAATGAAAGTATAAAGACAATAAATTACGTTAAATAACATTACTATTTGTTGTGATTATAATTTATTGTCTCTTTACAGATATATACATACTTAGCCTAATAAATCAAATTTATTTTTAAACGAGTTAACTGAAGGTGCGCATACAACGTTATCAGGTAAATTGTTCCATACAGAGAAAACTCGGTTTGAAAGAAAATTTTGCCTAACTCTAGAGTTAAAATTGTCCTTTTTTTAATTTGAACATATGCCCAAGTAGGCGCAGGTCATTATTTAATACAAATAAATTCGAAAGATCGACACCGAACATATGCATAATTGCGCGAAAACAAACGATTAAATCACCACGCAGTCGACGCTCACTAAAAAGAGTCAGGTTAGCGGTAGACAGACGCTGTTCATACGGTGGCCTTCTTATACCATACGGAACCCTTGTTGCAAGTCGCTGCACATTTTCCAATCTCTTTTGATCCGAGATTAATACGGGACACCAAACAGGACCACAGTACTCCAGGCGAGGACGAACAAAAGTCTTTTTTAATAAGAATAGTTGAGAGTTTGATTGTTTGCTTACTGATAATATATTCTCTGACCACGTTAAGTCTCTAGTAATGATAACGCCGAGATTATTTTGGGACGATACTGTCTTTAAGGCATTATTATTAATAGTATACACTAATTTAGGATTGTTTTTACCGATATGAAGAACAACACATTTATCAACGTTTAGCGGTAATAACCAGTCTGAACTCCACTTTGGTACCGCACTTAGATCAGATTGAAGAGACTGATAGTCCGCAATTGGATTAGCGTAGATTTTTGTATCGTCTGCGTAGAAGGAGCAACAGCTTTTTATGTACACAGAAATATCGGCAATATGTAATAAAAACAGTAGGGGACCAAGGACTGATCCTTGAGGCACTCCACTGACAACGGATTTGGTTTGAGAGAAACTATTACCAACTTTTACGCGAAATTGTCTAGAGGTTAAGAAGTCCGTTACCCAAGCTATTAAGTTGCCTCGGATTCCTAGGTGTTCAATCTTTTTGAGAAGTCGGTACTTTGGAACTGTATCAAAGGCTTTAGAAAAATCCAAGTATATAACATATGTGGGAAGACCAGCATCTAAGGCCTTTGTCCAGTCATTGACAGACTGCAGGAGATTAGTTAAGGTAGATCGTCCTCTGATGAATGCATGTTGTTGGGTGGGATTACATTGAGTACACAAAAGATGAGAGCCTAGCTGGTGGCTGTCACTATAAATCGTTTTCTTTTTCAACCTCCTCACCTTTTATGAAGAACAGGGTGAATCAAGATTCTATCCGACTCACTTCTATTTTGTCAAGCATTTAAGTTCGTATAAAGGTAACTATACCTTATAATTAACTCATCGGACCACAATTAATCTGTACAACCCTTCAATATGATTCGAAAAGGGACAACAAAGAAAATTTTGATTGGAGTTTATTGATTAAAGTATGGTTTTTGAGTACTATAAACAAGTAATAATATCTTTATAAATTTTATATTTTCAAGAATAAGACGTGTGTGACTTCGTTCATGAATGTTCGTGAATATTCGTGTCATTTTCGGATTATCAGCTTAGTTAGGGACATTTTAATCAGTTGGTAGTACTATGACGAAAGTCTAACGTCACTGAAAATTTGTAATAGAAATACTATTAGGCATTCCAACGACCTGTCCAAATGGCTACCAGTGGGTACTGACAGTTTAGATATGGCAACCCTGTTGTCATGTTGTCATTAACAGGATCAATGATACATATATGTTATATACATTGCTCAAAGCTGGTCGTTTGCGAGCAGCCATATTGCCTGGCAAATATTTATTAATTTGAATCAGTTTAGCAAAAATGTGTTTTAAAACCAATTTTCAGACTTTAGATATTTAAAAAATAATAATTGCTTATATTTTTACTTCAAGGCATAAGCTTATGTTTATTTTAAAAAATAGGGATGACCAATCTATGTAACTATCTATTTCACTCACCTTGTCAAATCACCAGGCCTACAGAGTTGCCATAACTTTGCCACATCATAACCTGTCAAAACCCACTGGTAGTCATTCAGTTTGGAATGCCTAATTAGGCATTCCAAACTAAATGGCTACCAGTGGGTTTTGACAGGTTATGATAAGGCAAAATTATGGCAACCCTGTAGACCTGGTGATTTGACAAGGTCAATGAAGTAGATAGTTACATAGATTGATTATCCATATTTTTCAAAATAAACATAAGCTTTTGCCTTGAAGTAAAAATGTAAGCAATTATTTTTTTCTTAAATATACAAAGGATGAAAATTAGTTTTAAAACAGATTTTTGTTATATCGATTCAAATTAACAAATATATGCCAGGCAATATGACCGCTCGCAAACAACCAGCTTTGAGCAATCTATATAACATGCCAAAAGTGTTGCCATATTTAAACTGTCAGTTCCCACTGGTAGCCATTTGGACAAGTCGTTGGAATGCCTAATAGGTACTTAAATAAAAATGATGAGATGATAATGATTGACTATTTTACTTACTTCTTGTGACATTACTTCTCTTTCTGATATGAGACTGTTTCGTTGTTTAACGACATATTTTAAATCTTTTAATAAATCCTTTAGTACTATTTTCTCTTTCTTATGAAATTCTTCGTATTGATGAAGCTACAATTTAAAATAAAAAAATATTTTCTAATATTACCTAGATTTCCCTGCAATAAACGTAAAATGTTTTTCTGTCCAGAAAGAAATACCACGCTTACTTGGCTTTGAGCTGCTTCTGCGATCTCTTTTTTAGCACCATCTAATGCAAAATTCTTCTGTACTTCCCACGACAACTCGTGGTTTAGCTTTTCCTTCATGTGACACAATGCTGAAAGTTCATTACATAAGGTTAGCTTTTCTTTGGCATTTTCTATTTGGACACCATTCAGCTGTTCGACGTTTGAACGGAGTTTCACAATAGTCTTGTCTTTTTCTTCTAATTCCGATTTTAGTGTTTTACCAAGTTGTTTGTTGTAACTCGCAATCATCTGATAAAAAAATACATTTCTTATTAGATAAATTTGAAACATTTAACTTTACTGCATTCACAACAAAGTTTTAAATTATTTTGCTTCAAATGATATAAGAGTCAAATTTAAATTTATTGCTAAAATGGTTTCTAGTAACTTTTTAGTTATTTTTCCTGTGTAAATGTGACTTTTACCGCAAGTTTGTTGGCTTCTTTACTCATATCACTAACTGTTTGTTCTAATAGTTGTAAACGATTTATTTCCGATTTCATATGGTGAAAAAGTGTTTTTATTAATGCCTTTTCGTCTAAATATTTTTTTCTTTCCATTTGTAATGCTAAAAGAAAAAATAGGATTTTGATAACGGTTCGTAGACTAAAACGGTGGCCTCATCAGGTGGCTACGGATGTCACAGAATGAAAAATTGAGGTGATAGAACATATTCTGCTGCTGTTCATACATTGGTATTTTTTTTAATCTAATATTTTATTATCATTTAGTGTTTATAGTTTCATTTTTGTACTATTTTCTAGTGTTAGAATTTTTATAATATCGGTCACTACAGTACAACAATGAAAAATCCTTTAATGATTTTCATAAAATTTCCAATGAATTACTTTTTATTTGAATTAAAAAGAAATATATTATTGTGTAAATAATTTATTTTAAACATTTTGTCTTTGGGTATGCCATATAAGCTCTAAGCTCCTGCCAATTTGTGATAAGTGAAAATATTGACAGATGTCTGATTTAGAGCCCCAGATTATGTTACATATTATGCCTATTACCATTGTTTATTTTTTTAAATGTTAAATCCTACTTACATGTTACAGTTTGTTTCTCTGCTTCATATTTTTGTTCAAGTTGTCGATATTCATTGGAAACATTTTCTATATCACCATGAAGTCTATGTAAATGCTGATTAGTTGTACTTTGATATTCAGAAAACTTTTTGTGATCCTCTTTTAAAAATTCTATTTGATTTAGAAGCAGCTCTTTTTCATTTAATAACTAAAAGCAAAGATAAAATATAAAGAAAATAATTATGTGAATATCATAAAAAATGAGGATATCAAAAACTGGTTCACCTGTCTACATTGAGAATCTAGTTTGACCATTTGTTCCTTATTTGTATTAAGCTCTTTAACAATATCTCCAGCTCCATTGTCGTGCAGTAGATGGTTCAGTCTTTCGATTTCGTTTCGAAGACCTGTATTTTCAATTCCCAAATTATTAATATAAACAGTGGATTGTTCTAGCAAAATGGTTTTCTAAAACAGACGTTAGTTGGTCTTTTTTTGATTAAATATAGGTTAATATCAGATGTTCATTTAGATTTTATTTGGTAATTAAATTGGAATTAGAATAATACTAGAAACAATGTATTAGGAAAGTTCGAAAAAACATTTCTACAGAAAAATAGGTTACAGCTATTAGCGGAACCATCTTCATGATTCTGCAATAAGGATGTTTTTTAAACACCTTTTATTAATTCATTAAATTTTTAAATAGAGAATATTCAATCCGAAAATTAGCAAAATTACGATATTAAACCTATAAATTAGCCTGTAACTTTTCAAAGTTGGCGTAGACTTTCACCGTCCTTTTTTCGTTAAACCATCTAGTTTAAGATGAGCACCTTACTTAAAAGTTACCTCTCATTACACAAGAAACTGAATGAAAAACAATTCCTCCTAATAATCCTCATTGCAGTGGTATTTAGGTAGCTGCAATAAAGAGTACCAAGCATCACTTGAAGAATCTGATTTCACTTTTCAGAAGTTTTCTACCATTTTAGCAATAATTAATGCAATTTTAAATTGTCACTCTCTTTTTCCTATATCTTCCGACCATAATGATTTAAATTGTTTTATAACAGGTCACTGTCTTAACAGTGATAACTTAACATCATTTACAGAGCCAGACGTAACAGTCGTTCTAGGAAATAGATTATCCCGTTGGCAAATATATGCTAAAGTCCAGCAAAATTTCTGGAGACGCTGGTCGAAGGAATAACTCAATAACTTACAAAATAAACCAAAATGGTTAACACTTCAAAGATAAACGATTTAGTTTTAATCAAAGATCACACCCGACCTTTCGAATGGCATTTGGCAAAAGTTGTTGAGCTTTTTCTAGGTTCTGATAATAAAGTTAGAGCAGTAAAAATAAAAACTAATAATGGAATTTATACTAGAAGCATCAGTTAACTTTGCCCGCTTCATTTTGCTGTTTACTAAGTTACACATTCTTTCTAAAAAATAAAAATATAATAGGACAAAAATAAAAAAAATCACGTTAAAAAAATAATTTCACGTATTCCATTGCATTTTTCAGGGATTTCATTAAACTATTTAGTTATGTTTTATTTGTACATCCATGCTAATATATTTTTGGATAAAATCCTGGTCCTTCGTTCTTTATTCAAGAAATATCTAACTCTACGTGTGATACAGTAGCTGAACCGCAAGTAATCGAGGAAAGGCGAGTGTCACCTGTTCACCAATCGAATATTTTCTCTTATTTATTTTGTTCAGTTTCACCTGGGTGAGCTTTTAAAAATTTATTTAATTTGATTGTAAATAGCTCTCGTAAGCCAAATGTATTGATTTTACCTGGACTTATAATTACCAATATATTTGGCCCTGTATTTTTTCTTTTTAGCTTCCAGAAATTATCTAATAACTAAATAAGGTAAGGTAACTTGGGTAACATCTTGCTCGGGTGGAAACTTAAATAGAGATGTTCTAGTGGAAGTCTGAATTTTTCTAGCAAACTGTATTAAAACTTGAGACTGCAATTCCAAAACTTTGCCAACATATTGTTTTAAGATTTTTTTGGTGGAAAATTCAACTAAACCCCAGTCTTCTTCCTTTAAAGTTGAAAAATCTCTTAAAATTTCATCAAATTCATTCTGTACCTTTTCCATGTGATTGACAAAATCTGATAATGACTCCTCAGACTTTTCCTTGCAAAGGTTTACTTCATTTTCATTCTCTGATTCACTTTCACTCTGATCAATTTTCTTCTTTTTTGCTTTGCTGCTTTCTATAGCTTTTCTTTTCCTTTTTGTTACCTTTATAGCTTTCATAAGCTGTTTGTCTGATGCTTCTTTTAACCTTTCTACTACTTCTGTTCTAGTTATGACTTCTGCTCCAGGGGCGATTCTCTTTTTTTTTTGTTTTTTTTTTTGTAATTCCTGATCATCTTTCTTTGCTTTTAATGTGGATAAAAGCAGTTCTTTAAACGAAGCGTTGGATTTTATACCCTCACTGGTGCTCGGTTCAGGATTTAAACATTGATTCGTCACGTCATTTAACGGAGTTGATACATCCATAGTTACAGTAGCTGCAGTTAAAGACAGTACGGGTACTACTGCAGGTAAAAAACCTTCTTCATCATGTTGTGTAACCGTTTCTGAGTCTCCAGTTTTATGTAATAGGTAACTCCTTTCTGCTATGTTCCCATCTTTTGAAAGCAGCTGGATCGAATTTGTCGTTTGTGATAACCTTGTCATTAAATAGATGAATCCCTGTTTTCTTAAACCCATTACCTAACTATTAAATTTGGGTTAGACTCTTCCCAGACTTATGTCGAAAAGGATTTTTTTTATAATTTTTTTTCGGGATCCCATAAGCATTTCAATGGTTTGAAGACAGCTATGTCAAGGGGTTGCAGAATATGGCTGGAATGTGGGGGTAGTTTTAATATGACGACATTTTCTTTAATTGCTGCCTCAATTAACTCTATGCCAACGTGTGTAGAGTGGCCATCGTAAATTATAATTGTGGGGGGAGCATCGTTCACCAAATGTTTTAAATAATATTAACATAGTTTTTGAAACTGGTGTTTCCATCCACCCCTTTTTAGTGGCAGCATATACTTGGGTTACTTTTATCCGGTTCTGGAGCCGTCCATTTATCATATACATTTTTATCTTTAAACACTATTAAAGGCACTGCTTTTTATCCTGCAGTGCTGGCAGCACATATAACGGTTGTATTTTCCCTAACTTGGCCACTGGTGGTTCGGGTAGAGGGCATTCCAATTGCTCCCACACTTATGTTTTTGAGGGATCTGTACAAAAACTGGTTTCGTAGAGGTTCCATATATGCTCTGGTTTATCCATAATCTCCAATTCTAAAAGAATGCCTTTAAGAATTTCAAAGTAATCAAAGATAATGAATGTCGACGGACAATTTCGACACTCTCTGCTTTTTTTAGAGAGAGAGTCTCTGTTTAAATGCAATAAACCATTTCGGTCCTGGATTTTCATTCTTAAATCTTGTTTTCAAACCATTTTGTTTCACGTATTTACCAATACCTTTAATTACTTCTGAATGAGATAGTACGAATCCCCATTTCTTCAAGACTCTTAAGCACTCTGCTATGTTCTCTTCATTTTCAAAACTTGTACCTGTATTTATTTCTAAACTTTTACTCTTTACTCCTCTTCTTCTTGCCAAATGATCAGTCAATGTCGATCTTGGAAACTTCATAGACAATACTGGCGTTTGTATACTATTGTCTTACATTTAATATGTTCTAACGCAGTTATTAAATTTTCTTTGTTATAAGTAGTGGCCCTTTTTGATTTTCTTTTATATTTTCTCACCATTTTTCAATTTTTGAAACCTAAAATATAAAATTTTCATTAAGTTACGTTGTTCGCTACAAACGGGGTAAGTGCGTATTGTAAGTGACGCATTTTCCCTTTCATTAAAAAATTTGGGGTAAGTGCGACAACTTTCAGAAAGTATATTAATAAGTAGATGTTTCATGCTGCACAGTATCCAAACAATTTATATAAATAACTGGCAAAATATTAATATTTTAATAAAAAGAGAAAAATAAAATTTGAAAAATTCCTTACCAATTCGCTCGACGAGATCTCACAAATAGGTTATGTTCTGGTACTCACTGACAGCAGACCTTGAGCGGCGGTTTTGCCATTTAACTAGGGTGACTTTAGTGAATTATAATTTAGAATTTTTAATAAAAATGGCGTACCTTTGTCTAACAGAAATAAATATTTAACGTGGTAATACTCTTACCCCAACTTACCTTACCTCTGTTATCAACTTGATAACTTAAATTTATTTATCTCCATCTAAAGCTACTCTATTACCTTTGAGACGCAATATCAAAAGATTTTAGAGTAAATTTCATTAATAAAGCTGGTGCCGGAGTAAATTTCAGATCGTAGACATCAAGGGTAAGAATTATTTTCTTAGATGCAAAAAACATTACAATTCACCTTACCTCCTTATTAAGATTTTCAAATTCTGCATTCTTGCGCATAAGTGCACTTTTTTCTACATCAAACTCGAACTTCACTTTCTCTATTTTTTCTTCTTTTAGCCTTATATCGGCTTCTAGAAATTTATATCGATGCTCGGCTAGTAATTTATCACTATCATCAATTTTTTTAGCAAGTCCGTCTAGTTTAGTGGTGGATTTTATCAAATTATCCTGTAGTTTCTCATTTGTTTCTAAGAGCATTTCTCTGTAAAAAATAAGTGAGGATTATAAAGGGACGACACAAACAAGTTAACTTACATTTCCTTCTCTTTAACACAGATTTGTTTTCTAAGAGTAACTAGCTCTTTGGATAAATCACTAATGCAAATTCGGCCAAGTTCGATAAAATCACTTAGTTCTTCCTCATGACACTAAAATGCAAATTTTTGTAAATAAATATTGAATTAAAAGTGACTTTTAAAATAATAAAAAAACAAAGGGACTAAAAATAAATAACTAGAAAAGTTTCGATCTAAAACTGGAAAAAAATGTATTTCGTTGTGGTTCTCTATTAAATTTTTTAATGAAAAATAACTCTAAGATGTCAAAGAAGTGGTGAAACTAAAAATGAATTTTAATTTAAATTGAAGCTATGATAGGCAATAGTAGGTACTACCTAGTCTTTATGAATCAGAAAGAAACTGAAACTGAATTGGTTACCATAAATATATACCTATATCATCTCATATCATATCATTAAGAATAGTACAGAACAACTGAAAATTGTCTGATAAAATATAAATTCCCTGAATAAAAAGAAGACGATTAAACGAAATATGCTTAAATAAAATATTACTGAATTCCGAAATACAGGGTGTTAAAGTTGAAAATTCAAAAAACAATCATTTAAATAAACCTTACCAGTGGCGTATAATACGGACAAGTAACACTTTCATACCTTCTAAATTTCACACCACTGTCCAAAAACTTATTTGGACTATACTTTTACATTTTTTGATGTACTTTAAATAAATCATGTACTCTTGTAGGGAACCCATAAACTGAGTGATAATCACACTCAAAGGTGGATATACTTCATTTGAATTTATTTTTTAAATCTGCATTTAAAGTAATAACCACATGAGAAACTGTGAAGATAATTCAAGTACAATCGTAGTTAGTATATGGTACATCTGCTCAAGATTTGTAATTGTTAATTACTGTTGTATTTATTTTTTAATAAAGATAATGACTAATGATCACGTACGACAATGGACGAAGAGTATTTTGTTACCTTGTTATTAATATCCAACGACTCTGACTAATGATGATGTACTACAACTAACGAAAAGTATTTTGTTACTTTGTTATTAATGTCCAACGACTGTGACTAACGATGATGTACGACAATGAACGAAGATCCTCCAGTTCTCCAGACAGCGACGATAACTAACAAGGACGCACGGCATTGAAACGAAGAGTATTGTTATTAATATACACTTTAGGCAATGACAATATGATAATGAATGAACGACGCTGATACGATTTCTACCTGTCACTTAGCATTAGGCTTATTCTCAATACAAAACTTATGGCCCTTTTGGCTGTCAGTTTCGTATCATCTTGACAGCTGCAGCGCATTGACAACACTCTCCTCGATGTAATGCCAATTGAATTTCTACGAATTTCTATGACTTTATCCGTTTGTCTACCTAAACCATATGTTTGCCTCTACCTTCCGGCTGTCTGTCCCTTTTTCTGTCTATCTGTCTGTCCGTTTGTCCACCTAAGATCCTTTTGGTAATGCTACAGCGTAGATTTATTTCAATGGCCACTGCGGTTCAACGTTATTCTACATGTGCTTACCCCACACTCTCCTCACTAGGCATCCTCCTCCAGTTCTTCATATTTCTGGAGGAAGGCGTTAGGTTAGATGGATTTTCGTATATGACACTTAGGTTAGGTTGCAAATGACAGATGACAGTATGTCCCTGTATGCTCCTGTATGTCCCTGTATGTCCCTGTATGTCCCTGTATGTTCCTGTATGTCCATGTATGTCCCTGCATGTCTCTGTATATTCCTGTTTGTTCCTTTTATATCCCTGTATGACACGACTGCTACATAATACTGGTTTTCCCGTTTGAATTGGACCAATACCAGCTGAGATATAGACTTAGGAATTTTGACATTGCCACTGTGCATGTTTTTTCTTTTCAACGTTAATCTACATTTAATTTCCTCCCACTATTCGTTTTTTTTTAAATTAGATTAATAATAGCTGAGATACAACCTTAGGCCCTTTTGACTTTGGTTCTGTACATGATTTTTCTCTTCAACGTTAATATATACTATGTTCTCTACATAGTATCTTGGACACCGATACTTTTTAAATGAAAAACGTGTAGTTCACTCTGGACAGTAGAGTGCTGGTGTGAATATTTAAAGATAAGACAAATATTGCTAATAATTTAAATGGGGGAAAGTTATTTGAAAAAAGTCAACATTGGACAATGAAAATAAAATATATTTTTTTTCAAAATTATATTTTTATAGTAACAGTAACAATAACTGCTCGTTGAAGAACAGGGAAACTTCTAGGGAGGTGAGCTGGTGGAACACCGAACTCGCCAAACTCAGAAGGAAAACACGTAAACTTTTTAATAAGGCTAAAAAGACGAATGAGTGAGGGGAATACACCGAAACACTCACAGAGTATAACAGAACTCTTAGTAAATCTAAGAGGGATTCATGGAGAACATTCTGTCAGGAAATTTAAAATACAACTGAAGGATGCAGACTCCACCGCATTATAGCAAAAGATCCAATAAACCCTGTGGGGAATTTAAAAACCCAAACAGGGGAATACACTAAAACTGGAATTGAAACATTAGAACTACTTCTTAAAACTCATTTCCCTGATTGCACAACAAACTCGAATGCAGCAAACCAAAGCCACACGAACTGGAACTCTTAAAAAAGAGTCTCCAGTCAAGAGTAACATGGGCAATACGCACCTTTAATCCATACAAATCACCTGGACCAGATGGGGTACTACCTGTGCTTTTGCAACAGGCAATAGAAACGCTCACTCCGCATATTTGTAGGCTCTACAGGGCAAGTTTGGTGTATAAACATGTTCCAAATACCTGGAAACAAAGCAGAGTTGTCTTTATACCTAAACCAGGGCGTCCCAACGTATGCCGTGGCAAAGGCCTATAGACCAATAACTCTGACGTCATTTCTATTGAAAGGATTGGAAAAAGTGATTAATCAGCATGTCTGGCAAACCACTCTGATAGAGAGGCCATTTCATACAAATCAACATGCCTATCAATCAGGAAAGTCTTGTGTGTCTGCTCTGCATCATCTTGTAATCAAGATAGAGGAAGGACTCAGTAGCCAAGAAATAGTCCTAGGAGCATTTCTTGACATAGAAGGCTTTTGATAATACCTCCTTTAAATCAATGGTAGCTGCCGCTCGCAAACATGGATTAGAAGACAACATCTGCTGGTGGATAGAAGACATGTTATGCGGACGGCGAGTACAGGCACAAATGTTCAGTGAAACCATGCACGTGAATATCCACAGGGGTGCCCACGGGGTGGAGTCCTTTCTCCTCTATTGTGGAACCTAGTGGCAGATGAACTGCTGAAAACACTAAACAATCAAGGGCTCTACGCCCAAGGATATGCCGATGACATAGTCATCCTTATCCAAGGGAAACACCAAACAACAGTCTTTGAACTCATTGAAAGAGCTCTTAGGCTGACAGAAATGTGGTGCGTTAGGGAAAACCTTTGGGTAAACTCTGACAAGGCACAACTCATAACCTTTACTCGAAAAACAAGGTTGGAGGTTTTAGAAACTCCGACTCTGTTTGGAGGAAGGCTAAACAAAACGAACCAAGTAAAATATCTGGGTCTGATCCTAGATAGCAAACTTACTTGAAACCAACACTCACAAAAAGTGATCAACAAATGTAAAATGTCTCTCATAGTAGGGAGACGGGCATTTGGAAAACATGGGCATTGCCTTTAGATATTCCCTTTTTAAAATATTTTTTTGAATAAAAGGCTCATAAATAGTAAGAATTTTCTTCTAGGGGGGGGGGGGAGCATGGCCATATTTATATAATATACATACTATTTATTTATATTTTTGATTTTTAAATATAAGCTATTTACCTTTTTTTTGTCTATTATTTAAACCTTTATTTTTCCGTTATGCACTTTCTGAAATTTGAATAAAAAAATCTGATGTTTCCAACACAAATAATAATAATAATAATAATATTAATAATAATTATAATTTGCTATTACTAGACAGGTATCTACTTAAATAATGTAAGTTTATGAAATATGTGCATAATTTAAAGAATTTTGAAAGTATGTATCAAATTTATTATTTTTTGTAATAATTGTAAACCCCGTAAAAATGATGCGACACTGGTAATAGTGTCTGGGCATTTCCCCTCATAACGTAAACAAACCCTATGCGCTAGTATACTGTGATGTCATTTCGGTTCCACTGACATTTAATTCTAACCAAACTTTTAACAAAAACATCAATAAATTTGACATATACGTTTTTACTGTTTTTATTTTATTTCAAAATATTGTTTACAGGTCATAAAAAATAGTTTAAAAGTATGTAATTGGTAACTAAACGATTGTATATTTGATACATGCTATTTACTTACTTTAGGAATATATTTATAAAAGTGAAAAAAACGATATAATTTAGGTAAACAAAATGAACAAAACGCACTCAAAAAATCTACTGTCACTTTAATTGTCAGTGTAACCATAATTACATCATCACTGAACTAGCGCATTGAAAGTGGACTCTATGAAATATACAGGGTGGCTCACGCTCAACGGGACGGAGCTTTATAGGAAAACGACCAAAGATATAAAAAATTCGTTTGGGAGGAATACGTAGGTTACAGACGGCTACAATTTAAAATTTGTTAGATGTATACAGGATGTCCCACATAAATGAAAAAAAATTAGTTCATTAAAAATTATTCAAACAAGAGTAAAAAATTAATTTCTGGGAGACTTTTTTTCCTTAAAAATTCAAATAAATCGAAAACCAATAATAATAGTAACAGGGAACCTTTAGTTAACTGACATTATTTTTGATGTAGTTTTTAATTCTAAAATAAAAAACAGGGTGTTCCATTAAAAATAATATAACTTTGTATATTTTCTCTTATGTGGGACATCCTATATACATCTAACAAATTTTAAATTGTAGCCGTCTGTAACCTACGTATTCCTCCCAAACGAATTTGTTATATCTTTGGTCGTTTTCCCATAAAGCTCCGTCCCGTTGAGCGTGAGCCACCCTGTATATGCTCGAAGATGCTACTCAGCCAACATTGTTAGAAGATTTGCGATGCGCCACCCTGTATACAACATTTACTCAAATTTTTATATTATTATATACTTCAATTTTTCCGCTTCAGAATATTAAAAATTGTTTCTTAAAATACTCCTTGATTTTTTATAAAATAATATTAAGGAACCCTCTTGAAACATTACGCCATTGTGGGTTGTACCTGTAGTACCCTACCCCTTTCTCCTCCTACTTTGCTAGAAACATTTAACGACAATTCATTTATTCATGTCAGTTCTTTTGACAACCTTATATTTTTATTATTAGCGACATAATTATATAATATTTAAAAATGGCCACAATGGTAACAGAAGAAGATATCGATTTCTTTTTCGATATAAGCGCTCTAGGAAGAATAGATGAAATAGATTCGCCATTTGCTCGAACGTCCATAAAAAGTGTTATAGATGAGGCTTTGAATCAGCTATCTATTTTAAGACACGTTAACACCTGCAATTTTGGATATTTTGATAATCGCATGGTACACTATCAGAGTATTGAAGATAGGTAAAAAAATCATGATCACTTTCATAATATATATCTTTGTTTCATATTATATCTTGTACCGAAGAATCTTATGTTTTTAGTCATCATTATAGGACTCATCTCAAAATCTACCTGTGATCTTTGACCGTTTGCTGTTATATTTATCTTTTCTGCCTGAGCTATCTTTTTCACGTTCTCATCTTTTATTTTTGCACATACAATCTAGTACGTATGTAGTGTTCTTTATTGATTCTTATTATTTAATTTCAAAGTTTATCTATATCATGGGAACATTTTTGGCAGCAAGGCAGCTCATAAAGATTTGAGCTCCAACCGAACTGGTTTGAAATTATATACCATCTTTAGTGTTTTCTATGACAGGAAAAAAAATTGCCATATCATACTGGAAGACAGCAAAAAAAGGTTTTGTACATTAAAAGCGTAACTTAATCTGGGTTCATATAAGCATAACTTTTTCAAAGCAGTACAAAACCTTGAATTAACCCATTTTATCAAATCCTGGATGAAATGCAAATATCTACGCATCCTAATGAGATTGTGTCTATGAAATCACATAAAAGCAATTTGGTCTTCAACGAATATTGGACTATCGATTCTACAGTGTGATAGAGCTCTGATCTATTCTGAAAAGATGTAGGCTTATAACAAGCATGTAGTTTTTTAACAAAATTCAACCATGGTCAGTGAACTATAATTTAGACGTGCCATAATAGATCCTTTGTTATCGTTGTTTCCATTTTTTAATAAAGGTATAAAAAATTGTTTTTAGGATTTCTGGGACTGAGAAGCACGAAAATACTAGGCTCCCCGCTGTTGGAACAAACCAAGACAAACTGGCTCATGACGTTAATACGTTCATCAACATTTTCAGAGAAACTATTTACGAAATTGATTCTAGTGGTACCTATAAAAGCTTAAAACAGGCGATTAAAACCATGAAGCGCATGGATAACGATGCAAAAGAACTCTTCCAAACCAAAGAAAACTACGAAAAACAAATAATAACGTTAAAAAATCAAATAGAAGAAGAACGGATTACGGTTATGAAATCTATCAATCAAACAAATGAACAGATTCAGAAGATTAGGTTTGAGGTGGAAGATATTATAGGTAATGTATTGTCTGTTGATAGCAATTTTAAGAATTTTGCTGTTAAGTTCACAATATACTAATTGTTTTTAAAAATTAGTTTATGGAAAAACAGAACTTGAATTCTTGAAACATTACGAAGCAGCAAGAACAGAACAGAACCTTCTTAAATGTAAAATTGAAGAAAAGAAGTCAGTGGATGTCATAGAAGACATTAAAGAAAAGATAGAGCTTGAACAGAAATGCCATAAATTGTTTTTAGATTACATTGTTGAAGATCAGGAGGTAATGAATTAAAAAAAGCTTGGATAAAACCACATATTTAAAACGTTTTCCAGTCATTTTTAACAGACTTAAAAAAAGGAGGAGGTTCTCAATTCGTCGTAATATTTTTTTATGTATGTTCAGCGATAATTCTTTAACATTGTGTCCGATTTCAATGATTCTTTTTCTGTTAAAAAGGAAATACTTCAGGGGTGGTCCCATATTAATTTGGCCAAAATCTAATAATTGGGTCCATTAGCAAATCCTCAAACTCTTCATTTTTAATGTATTTTTAGCGGTAATTCTTTACCATGTGTCCAATTTCTATGATTCTTTTTGGTTAGTAAGGGGGTACCTCAGGGGTGGTCCCATATAAATTTGTTTAAAATATAATAATTGGGTCCATGAGAAAAATCCTCAAACTCTTCATGTTTTATGTATCCTTAGATATAATTCTTTACCACCTTGTCCGATTTCTATGATTCTTTTTTGTTAGTAAGGGGGTGGGTACCTCAGGCGTGGTCCCATATAAATGTGGTTAAGATGCGGTGACGACATCTACCCGATTTTGAAGTCGGTTTTTTTTAAACTGCTTTGAATACTTGTTAAAATAACATATTTATCAGTAGGTAATAGAATCTGTTTTCTAGAGTCTATTTCACCAATTTTCTACTATTTTTTTGTCATTTTTTTTTAGATTTATTTTACAATTTAAAATTTTTGTATTATTTTTAAATTAGTTATTTTTTCTTTATATCTTCTAAATTTATTTGGAAAATGTTTGAATTTACTTAAGTGGGTCGTAGAAAAAATATACTGTACAACTCAAATGGATTGTCCACATCGCGTCGTGCTGAAACATCCACTTTGACGACATCTACCCGATTTTGAAGTCGGTTTTTTTTAAACTGCTTTGAATACTTGTTAAAATAACATATTGATCAGTATGTAATAGAATCTATTTTCTAGAGTCTATTCCACCAATTTTCTACTATTTTTTTGTCATTTTTTTTTTTTTAGATTTATTTTACAATTTAAAATTTTTGTGTTATTTTTAAATTAGTTATTTTTTCTTTATATTTTCTAAATTAATTTGGAAAATTTTTAAATTTACTTAAGTGGGTCGTAGAAAAAATATACTGTACAACTCAAATGGATTGTCCACATCGCGTCGTGCTGAAACATCCACTTTGACGACATCTACACGATTTTGAAGTCGGTTTTTTTAAATTGCTTTGAATACTTGTTAAAATAACATATTGATCAGTAGGTAATAGAATTTATTTTCTAGAGTCTATTCCACCAATTTTCTACTATTTTTTTGTAATTTTTTTTTAAATTTATTTTACAATTTAAAATTTTTGTATTATTTTTAAATTAGTTATTTTTTCTTTATTTCTTCTAAATTAATTTGGAAAATTTTTAAATTTACTTAAGTGGGTCGTAGAAAAAATATACTATACAACTCAAATGGATTGTCCACATCGCGTCGTGCTGAAACGTCCACTTTGTGTGATATCGCTATCATATCCAATCTATTATTTTTACTTTTCTGTTATCAACTTTAGTTAATGAGATATAGCCATTGTAAATTTTTAAATTATCGCCCTGTATATACTTTTTGTAAATATTTAAGGACCTTCTAGAAGTTACCAACTATTGGACGAAAACATACTACAGCGAAGTAGAGAGAAAAGAAAATGAGCTCATGAAATTAAAAGGCGAACTTGACTATAACATTGATACACTGGACAAACTTACAAAAAAATTCAACATACGACAAGCAGAAATTGACAAATGGATGGAATATAAAGAAATGAAGAGGGCGAAGGAAGACCGTGTTAAACAGGAAATTAGAGCTATAGCTACAATTCAGGTAAGAAGATGCTATTATTAAGCTTAATTGGTCCGTATCAGGTATTAGAATTATTCATTAAAATTATCATTTTATCATTAACTTACTATCAAAACCTCTTCTCTAGTGATTTTACAGGATCCATGAAGAACATTTCTTTTGTCTTAACTCAATACAGCCTACTGTGCGATTTATTATACAGAGGTGTACATCAGTACACATTGTGTCCCAAATATTACGTATGTAGTACTAAAATAGTACACAAATTGTACATAAATAGTACAAAAATATATAAAAATTAGGTGGATGAGCTAAAAGAAAAGTGAGCAACTATTAGCTATCAAAATTAAGTTGATTACCTAACAAAAAAGGTGGTTGCCTAATTTTTCTCCAAATAAACAACGACTAACAAGTAGGAACACTAGGAAACTCTAAAGACAGTACAAAATAGCACAAAATAGCACAAAATAGTACAAAATACATACATATAAATAAATAGTTTATACAGTACAGAATTAGTACAAAAATAGTAGACAAAATACATAAATAGTATACGAATAGTACAGAATATATGCAAATATTACACATAGTACAGATTGCTTGTACACCGTAGTACAAAAGCGGTTTACCCCTTAAGTTTATGTCTGTTTATAATTGAACGTAGTTAATGTAAATGCACAAAAGTGACTGTTTTGAAGTGAAATACATATTTGTTGAAGATTTGCTAGTCTTATAGATGTAAGGTCAATTCGGGGAAGTGCGTATTCGGGGGAAGTGCATTTTCCTGCTTTCCAATTAGTGTAATTGGCTGCGAAAAACCACGTGACATATTTTACTGCCTCCTCATTCAAGCCCTTTACTTCAGCCCCTCGATCTGGCAGTTTTCAAGTCCATAATCATCGTGGGATGAGTATCTCTGCAAAAGGTTTAGACAACAAGGCTGTCAGAAAATTTCTAAACGATCAATGCCGTTAGAAATAGGAGAACTATCGAAAAACTTGATACGGACATTATTAAAAATGGATTCAGGAAAGCTGGCATCTTACCGTTTAATAAATATATCATTCCTGAAGAAAATTTTGACCAACTATCTTTGAAGCGATGGAAAATCATTGCAGCTCGAAACTGATTAAATGACAGCACCCGAACTGGAGCAAGTTGCAGCGACCGAAATGGAAAAAGTTGAATCATCTGAAATTGATCATGTCTTACCACCTAAAACTAATATGATTGCAGGTTCTGAATAAGACAAAAATGACCAGGTTAAAGCTGTCGAAATTCATGACGCTACCTCATCGGGAAGCAACCTAGAGCAGGTGCAGAACTCTCTCTATACTTTCGAAAAATTGCTACTATCAATTATTTCTTCCCATAATTAGAGAGGTCCGCCAGCTAAGATAACCAAAGTTTGTTTAGGGTCAAAAGTCATCACATCTCAGGAGTATATAAAAATTTTGAAAGAAGGAGGACGCCGAAATGCAGAAGAAAGCTATGAAAGAAAACAAAGAAAACCAAAAAAGGAACAGAAAGCCAAGAATAAAAAACCAAAGAAGACAAAAGAGAATCAAAAGAAAAAATCGAATTTTGAATTGTCATCATCCTCTGATGAGGAAGAACTGCCATTAAATATGTGCATTGATGAATCCGATTAAGATTTTGGAGAAGAAATACCTACTGAAACAGAGTTTAAAATAGACGACCTGCCAATCCATCTCGAGTCAGAATTGGAAATAAGTGATCCCGAAAACAATCTGGTTCCATTCTTAAAACCAAACGAATCAATAACTTTGGAAGTTGCAGAAACTGGTATTTGTTCGTTTGAAACAGTTGATCAAGTTCCTAACTTCAATAATAAAGAAGATCCTTCTGAAGCTTCGGTTGTGCCAAGAAAACCAGGGGATTTCGTTCTAGTCAAGTATGAATCTACCAAAAAAACTGTGAAAAATACCTAGAAGCAATCAAAGAAATATATGATTCAGAAGAGTGTTTTGTTAAATATTTACGCTCTCTAGATAAAGAGAAAAAGACTTTCAAGTTCCATATGACTGATCAAAACACCGTCCCAATGCATGATATTATGAATACAGATGTTCCAGACTTTGAGATGGATTCTAAAGGCCGCTATGAATTTAAGGACCCTGTGCCAGTCGTAGAATAAATATTTGTTATGTTAAAAGTATCTACCAAAGTTTGTATAACAGTTATTTTGTATTCTAAATGTTTTCTAAAAGTTTATAATTTTTAATTTTTCTAATAAAATCTTAAGCTTTAAAACCAAAATATTAATTTGACTGTCTTTCTTAATATTACAGATAATTAAGTTCTGCAAAAACTGACCGATTCGACATTTTACATATTTTTTACACTTGCCTCGGATAATCATCATAAGCATCTAAATAGAAATAAAGAGGTCTGAAATGTACTTGCCCCATAAACTGGGGTAAGTGTATTTTTGTGAGATTGCGACCAATTTATTTTTTTTGTAATAAATCCAAATTTTTGGTAAAAATACTTTCGGATTATCATTACTTAAGGTTGTAAAAATTTAGTACGCTTAAAAAACTATATAGTACGCTGATTTCTAGTTTTTATCTTGATTTTAAAGTCAACTTTGAAATTGAAGGTACGCACTTCCCCGAGTTGACCTTACTAGATGCTAGAGTTTTTATTAAATATGAGGTTCTTGTGTTATTACTATCTGAAGATAGGCAAGATAGTGAGATAGCAAGACCGATTACTTACATATTGGTAAGAATGTTCTAAGTCAGATACTGGGCATAATTACTGTTAATCACAATACAAAGAAATGTGAATTACAGCTAGAAAAACTTAATGACTTGATGACGATGTACCACTGGTTTAACGAATCAAAAGCTGAGGAAAAGAGCACCTCGAAATAAAAAAGAGAATGGAAAAAAAATAGAATATATTGATTTAAGCCAATCTTTACTCTTTTAAACCTCTACAACTAAGGAATAGGAGAAGAAGAGCTCTTTGACAAGATATTAGGCTTGTATTGCCTTTGAGTCAGATCCAGAAAATGGTAGCGGTCAATAATTATTAAGTTCTGTTTTAATAAAGCCGTTTAGTAAATATGTGAATGCGCTACCGCTATGCTTATCCAAAAGTACCTGTACGACAGATTGTATTGTCAATACTGACTTCACCTGAACGAGACGAGAGATGTATTAAAAGAAGTTATGTAAGAAAAATCTGGACCACATAACTGACCAAATTGTTACTCAAATACGTTGTGCATACTGTGGCATATGTGCCAAATTTATTTGCACAAAATGTAATGGAGATCTACATTCAGATAGATGCTTTTGTCAATAGCGTACTCCTATATAAAAAAGTAAAATGTTTTTATTTTCTAAAATTTTGTAAAATACTAATTCGGACAAAATTATATTTGCTAGACTCAAATTGACTGCTATTGACTTTTGAAAATAGTAAAAAGTTCTTGTGGTATTATAAGGCATTTTGACATATGGAAATACTCCAGGGGCTCTATCCTCGGCAATCGTTTTCTAAAAAAACGTATACGCTTTAGCAACATGCGAGCTATTCGCTATTCTCGACATTCGTTTTAAAAGCGTGTACGTTTTTAAAGCGGGTGTTTTACAGCGAGCGGAATTTTTCACACGTTTGTGATAAAACGTGCATGTTTTCAAGGATTTAATCAATGTCACTTATATGTCACTTTTAGGATGATTAATAATATTGATTGATTTTAACAAATTTTACTTTTTATTAATACCTACAAAAGTATCTAATTTCTTATAAATATAGTTTGCAGTACTAAAAAAGTTTAATAGCTGAGAATTTCTTTCAATTAATACAATAATTAGTTTAGTACAATTAGAAAACTTGGAAGATAAGAATGCTAAAAGCAGAGATTTACCTAACTTGAAGCCACTTCAAATCGTACACTTCTTTGAGAAAATATGATTGGAAGGGTCGTTGTAGGCATTGAGACATTGCCTTAGTGCATTGGCGACAGAAGGGGGCACAATAGATCTTTTAGGTCGCAGTGTATTAACACCCCATTCTCAACATAACATAAAGATTCAGACATGCAGAGGCAGAATCCAATTTTTTAATTTAATGGATATTGAATGAATATTTTTTATATTTTACCGTGTAAGAATTTAATTATTGTATGTTTTATTTATAGATAATAATTTGCTTGCGGTTTCTTGCAAGTGATAGTTCAAAGCTCTTCTATATCACACGTTGTGTCCAGAAATTTTAACAATTTTGTAAAATTGCCACAAGATATTAAAGAACTGAATGAGATTAGCAAAGTTTTTAAGTTAATTTTGTACCATAAAAACTAGGTTTTATGACGACGATTTTCCTAGAATTATAGGTTACATTGACAGCACCCGTATAGCTGTTTTTCTGCCAATGATTAACGATTCAGTTTATCCTGAACATTGATATATTATGTGATTAGAAAAAATCAGCATTCGATAAATTTACAATTGGTTTGTTGTAATTAAATTACATAATCCTTATTTTTTATGGCCTGCACATTACTTGAATTCAGCGATATAGACAGTTTACAGTGATGCCAGATATATAATTTGCTTGTTAAAAACGTACACGTTTTAAAAAACGAATGCTTATCGAACGCCAGTCAAGAATATAGATTTCAAAAACTACTCGCTTTTCAACCACTCACTTTCGAAAACGGCTCGTTTTTTTAGCGATTGTCGAGGATAGCCGCCCTGAACATTTGGAGCTTAGAATCGCGCTGGTTCTGTAGGACAATGTGTTGGTGTTTACAGAATGTGATATTTTGAAACACTTGAAAGTCCAAAAAATAGACTTAGGAAGTTTTGATTTTCCGACAATTTTCAATATTTTTGTGTGGTGCAGTATTGGTTTTTCAAAGAATACCTTAAAGTAGTCATTTTTGATAAAAATAAAACTACATTTTTGGTTTTAGGCATGGTGGAGAGGTACCATGTGCAGACGAGGCATACCACCAGGTGGACTAAGAACAGTAACAATGTCGAAAAAATCCAAGAAACCCAAGAAAGGCAAGAAAAAGAAAAAAGAAACCTAATTTATTTCATATGTTCACTTCAATATTAAATTCATTCATTGCCACTTTTTGAATTATTCTTATGCTTTCTAAAATATATAATTTTACCTTTAACTTATCCCAATTTATTGTTAAAGAAATGCCTTTTATTTGATCTTCCATTCCGACTAGATCTTTTTTCAATTTATGACAGACATCTATGACGTTTACCAAAATTTTCTCTTTGTGTTTTAATTGGTGATTTAGTGTTGCCATTTCTAATTCGTAATCAGCTTTAGTTTGATGAAAAACAGCTGAAATGACGAAAAATTAAAAAGACTAGCATTACTGGTACTTTTAAGAACTTGTCTGGGACACTTCAATTAGTAATGGTTGAGCCAATAAGGTGTAGTGGGGCAACTGGGTCCAAGGGGTAACTGGGCCATAGGCATTTTAAACAAACGTGTTTAGAGGATTTTGTTTTTTGCGGTTGGTATAACTTGCAAAATGCTCTCTTCTTTTTCAAACAATGACTCAACGCTTAGTTGTGTACTTGGTATCAACGTGGTTAGTTCTGTAATTTTTTATGTTATTTGTGAGAAAACATCGTGCTAACACAGAATCTTTGGAAATTTTGCATTATATCACGGTAAGTACTTGTGTTATGTAGTTAGTTTAGTAGTAACCTGTAACGTATTCTGAACAATATAATATATATTTTGTAAGCTTTTTTTCGTAAACTTTTAATTTAGAGGGGGTGGCCCAGTTACCCCGGGAATGGTTTGAAAAAGGGGCTTCTGGGCCATATAGCAGGGGCAACTGGGCCTATTACTGGTCCAGTTACCCCTTGAGGTCCTAGTTACCCCAGTATAGTTCAAAAAATTCTAAATTTGTTTATAAATACGTTCTACTTTATTTTTGTACCTGATATAAAATGTTCGTTGGTAATCTGAAGAATCTGACTAGTTTTTATCTTTAGAAATTAACCAAACTTACTTTTATTAAACAAAGCTCTTGTTTCGTTGCAGATTGTAGTGCGAAAATATACGAGGAAAACCCAAAAGGGAGCTGGTTCTTCGTACACAAGAGAGGATCTTGAAAGAGCCGTACGATGTAAAAAACGGAAATAAGACTACCCGGGGAGCATCTTTATTTTACAACATACCACGCTCTACATTAAAACACTACGTAATGGGCACTCGAGGAAAAGGTTTGACGTCACAAGAAGGAAGAGGTGGTGGTGTTTTATCTTATTTATCTCCTGCAGCAGAAGACGAAATGGTAAACTGTATCAAAATAATGGATAGAATCTAAAGTTCAATTGTACATACGACAAAATAATTTACAAACTAGATTCAAAGACCAACGCCCTAGTAAAGACTGGTTTATATCTTTTAAAACCAGACAACGTCTATCGCTAAAGAAGTCGCAGAGTATTGAACATAGTAGGTGTGACCAAATAAACCCTTGGGTAGTTTACAATTTTTTTGAAACCTTAGAGAAAACCGTGGAAGAACTTGGTCTTCAAGGAAAGCCAGCACAAATTTACAACTGTGATGAGACGTCATTTTGCCACGATCCGTCAAAAACTAAGATTGTTGGTGCTATCGGTGTAAAGAAACTAGTTCATCTGGAAGAGATAATGTATCTGTCTTGCTTTGTTGTTCCCCTGAAAGAAAGATGATTCCACTGATATGTGTTTTTGAAGGCAAATATGTCATCGCGAGGATGGATGGAAACTACCTTATTTTACCATTGGTTTCGAGATATTTTCTTGAAAAATATAAGTGAAGACAGGCCAGTATTGTTAATTTACGATGGGCATAGCACGCATATTTTAACTAAACTAATCAAATTAGCCCAAGAGAATCAAGTTACAATACTAAAGTTACCTCCTCATACGACACACGTCTTGCAACCGCTAGATAATATATACATGTGTCGCACCAAACCCAGATGCCCCAACACAATTTACAAAAGTTCATACGAAATCTATACCTTACTGATCCAGTTACCCCATCTTTAAGGGACAATTAGGCCCACATGACATTAAAAAAATATATTTTTTTTTTTGCTTATAAAATGATAAACTATGGTAACTGTTTATATGCTAAATTTTAAAGTAAATATTATTTCTTACAACTAAAATTATTTAAACTTTTTATTTCAACGGAATGTGTTATTTTTACGTCAAACGTCACTCGCCTACGTTGTAAAATCATGGCCCATTTACCCCACCTTACCTTAAATATTTAAATTGACATATTGGCAAAAAACTAAGTGATAAAGCATAAATAATTTGTTAAATATTTTATTCAGCCTCTTCTAACTCTATTATCTAGTAGAATATATTGGAGTTCGCAGAGGGATGAGGACCTTTTTTAGCCCCCTTCATGATACGCCCCCTCCCCCAGAGATAACCAAAAGACTAAATTTAATAACATGATAAGCAAACAATCTTTGTTAGATGCAGAGGTTTAAAAAAGTTCGGTATTCTTTAAATGATTCTTACCTTCAATATCATGATATTGTAAAAGGGAGCTCGAAAGCTGAGTTTCTAAATTTTCATTTTTTTCTCTATAATTTGTCAGTTCAATTTCAAAACTATCTAATTGCTTGTATAAAATCTCTGTTTTATGCGTTAGTTTGATGTTGTGTTTAATTACGTCTTGAATTTGATTATCAAAATCTAAAACAATAAATTTGGTAATAATATTGAATAAATTGAATTTTATGACAAACTAAAGACATATAGATAGAAATAGGGGTATTAGGGTATATAAGTGGATAGAACGTGTAACAATAATATATACGTACAAACGAATGCTTAAAAAATAAACTGAGTTGACGAACTAAATTAAAAGTTAGAAAATCTCAGGCATATTTCAAAAGTTAGATAACTAATGATTATCATTGTTGGTCATTTAATAGTTAGCATAGTAGTAATTATATTTCGCATATTTGTTTTCCAAAGTATAAACACACTGTAGTATATTTTCGGTATACGATTGTGTCCACAACGTTTAAAGAGATAACTTTTTTCCCATCGGTATGCCGTCGAGTCAGTCTGTGAATCATAATTTATCGTTGTGCGAAAGTGTTCACATCGTATCGGTGCCAGTTAATAAAATAATTATTGAATTTAATTTAAAATAAACGTGAAAATGCCAAAAAGACCCCAGGGAAGTCTTCAAAAAATCCAAGGAACACTAGAATCTACAACTTCTGATTCTGAAAGTAGGTAAAATATTTTTTTATTTAAAATAGATAACAAAGCAGAAAATGAATACGCAGTAATTTAACTTTATGTAAATTACATAAGTTATCACTCGAAATGTGATTTTAGGTGATACAGGGTGATACGTGGAAAGTTTTGAGTTAGTTTTTTAATGATTATTTGAACTTTTGCAGTCTGAATTAATGGAATTTATCGAGAAATTATACTTTATGTTAATTAACTCGTATTTTTTTTGCACATGGGTTGCTGATAGATTTTATATTATCCAACCATATGAAAAATATTGTGCTTTTGTACAGTGTATATACAGGTCACACGATAGTTATCGTATTTGCCGATGACCAAACCCTACGACATAAATTCAATAAAACTATTCACCTTTTCAGGTGACTCTGGTGTGTCATCGATGGAGTCTAATGCCAACAGTAATAATGGCTCACAATTTAAAGAAGTGCAAGCAGAAGTTCACTCACAAAATATTTCTAATCCTAAAGCATACACTGACGATAATGGGTGAAAATCCACAACTAGTGACTGGTCTTGGTGAACCTCTACATGAGGAAATTGCGAGCAGGTGGCTTCATTACCTAACAAATGGTATCGAAAAAGAGGAAGCTAAAGTATAAGTCGAAAAGTATAGAACTCCCTCAAATTGTGATTTGCTGATAAGCCCAGAAACCAACCCAGAGGTATCACTTCTTCTTTCTGAGTCACAAAGAAAAACCGACTTATATCTAACAAAAGTACAAAATTTGATGTGTAAGAGTCTATGTGCTTTGGGTGAAGTTCTGAGTAGTCACTTGGATGATTCCACACAAAACCAAAACGCTTCAAAGATGGCAGATGCATCAAAATTAATAAAGGGCACAATACACAATATTAGTATGCACAGGCGCTATAATATGTCATCGGTGCTCTCTTTAAAGGCAAAAAAGGTGATAGAAAATTTGCCCACGGACAAAACTCTATTTAATGTGGAATTTCAACCAAAATGTAGATCTGCACGTGAAGTAGAAAAAACTAGCAAGGAAATTCAAATATTTAATCCAAAAAATAACTATTTAAACTCCAAGCGCTGGAGTTTCAAGCAGAGGAAAAAAGACTCCCAGTTACAACAGGGGTCAATCCGATTTCAGAGAAAACACTCGAGAGTACAAGAACCCGAAGCAAACCCGGTAGAACAGCCTCTGCTAACGGTAAGAAAAGTCGCAGGGCAAAATGGCAAAAAATTACAGTAAACAAATTTATTTTGAATACTGTTCAAGGCTACAACATTCCTTTTATTAGAGTGCCTAAACAAAAAATATCTCCTCGTGAGCCTATGTTTTTTAAATTAGACCATAAAAATATTAAAACCGAAATTGACAAACTTCTAAAATTAGTTGCAATACGCAGATGTAAATATAACAAAAATCAATTCATTTCTAAATACTTTTTAAGAAAAAACCAAATGGTTCCTTAAGGTTTATCCTAAATCTTAAACAACTGAATGCTTATACTTCACCTCCCGATTTCAAATTAGAAGATCATCGAGTAGTTCAAAATATTCTATATAGAGATTGCTACATGGCATCTATTGATTTAAATGATGCCTATTTTTTAGTCCCAATAGGAAATACTTAAGATTTATATTTAATAATAAAAATTTTGAATTCTGCTACCTTTCGTTTGGATTGAATATAGCTCTATACGTTTTCACCAAATTACTTAAACCAGTGATCTCAAAGTAATTAATAAAAAATATAATATCCGTAATTTACCTAGACGGCCTTTTAATTTTAGGGGAGTCAGAGAAACAGAAAATATAAATTTTTCTATCAAACTATTTGAAGAATTAGGGTCTTTAATTAATAGAGACAATAGTAACTTAAAATCCTCAACAGTTTGCACTTTTTTGGGCTTTGTATTCAACTCCCAAGAAATGTCAATTTTATTGCCCGAAACTAAAAGAATAAAAACCATAATATTATTAGAAAAAATTTAGAAATAAAAAACATTGTTTGATCCAAAATCTTGCTATGTTAATTGGCACACTTATATCCCTTTGTCCGGCAGTTACATATGGGTTTTTGCACATTAAATTATTTGAATATTACGAGTATATCGCTTTACACTTTGCAAATCAGGTGCTACACCTGATGAATTTCATCATTATTATCACAATCTACCTGTATCCAATAATGTTAAAGACACGGAACCTGAACCTTTCATAGAAGAGTGACACAGACATTGAATATTATGAGTTTTTTTGTATGGCTGGTTTACAATGTTTTTCGAAAAATTTAAGAAATTGCAGGATTTTGTTGCGCATCGACAACACAACAGCCATATCTCTCATAAATAGAATGGGTAGTGTCAAGCATTATCATCTTAATGATATAACTCGTCAAATTTGGAAATGGTGTGAAGAAAGACGCATATTAATTTTTGCTTCCTATATAAATACAAAGGAAAATATTATCGCAGACAAAGAATCAAGATAATTGGCCTAGGATACAGAATATTCGTTAAATATCAAGTTTTTTGAGCAAATAATAAATAAATTCGGAAATCCAGAAATTGACTTATTTGCAACTAAAATCAACGCTAAATGCAAGAAATGTGCATCCTGGCACAGAGATCCTGATTCTTTGTTTGTCGATGCCTTTTACTATATCTTGGGAAAATTGTTTTCTTTAAGCTTCTCCACCTTTTTCACTGATCCCTCGTGTACCTAATAAGATTATATTAGATCAAACCAAAGGTATAATAGTAGTGCCTCACTTGCCAGCGCAGCCATGGGTACCCTCTATTTATAAAATTACTCTGCTCAAAAACTGTATTCTCGGGTCCATCACAAACATTACTCTTATCTCCTTTCAGACAGCCACATCGTCTGACTCAGAGCCTTATCCTGGTTGCAGGAATGTTATCTGGAGAAGTTTTCAAGCAAAGGGTGTACCTGAAGGAAGCATACCAACTTTAATATCGTCTCTAAGTATCAACACTCAAAAACAATACAGTAGTTATTTTGCTAAGTGGTGGGATTTTACAAACACAATAAATTAAATAAGTTCCAACCTTCGATTGCTGAATTCTTAGAATTTCTTTAAACAGAATTTGAAAAGGGTTCTTCTTACTCTATATTAAATTCTCTTCGTTCAGCACTATCCAGTATCTTTAAATTTCCCAATAAAGAAGAAGAAATAATAAAACGATTTTTGAAAGGAGTATTTAAATCAAAGCCAGCTTTCCCTAAATATTATATTAGGTCATTATATTATTATATTTGCAGTTATACAATAAAAATAACAATAAGTACAAAGATGGTTTACTTCTTTTTCGTACTGTATGTACTATAAACACTTTCTTGGAGATCGCAATGTTCTCTAAACATCTCCAGTGTGTTTATATTTTGGAAAAAAAAATATGCTCATATAATTTGGATTCAACTTCCTTAAGGTAAGTCGTTTAATCCATTAAATCTACACACATTATTTTAATAAAGTCATTATAGAAATCTTTTGTTTAACTAAATACAAAACAGTACCCTTTTTTATTCTTTTTTCGCTGTTGATTTAGTATAAACATGTGGAAAATCGGCTCTTGAAAATAACGATTTTTAAGTGGTTTAATGTGAGTTAAAAATTAAATTTTTGCACCAGTCTCATCAATAAATGTGCACCTTTGAAAAACTTTAAGTTAAAACACATTTTATTAAATAGTAACATCATAAACCTGGAAATAATATAGGTATATTTAAAGAAAATAAAACAGACATCCAAAAATTAAAAGATAACAAGTTTTTTGATACTAATCTCAAAGATTACCATTTATTTAGTAGGTATACCATACATTTCACAGTACATTGGCGTACAAAATAAAATAAAACAAAGTAGAATGACTGAAACAAATCAATTAGAACAGTGTTTCTCAAGCTTTTTTGGTGACGGAACCTTTTTGAGAAGCGAAATATTTGACGGAGCCCTAAACACATTTCTAAAAAAAAGATCCTCCGAGCAAAATCATAATATCCTCCTTCCTCTTACTGAATTCAAACAAAAAAAGGTCCTCAAGCCAGGTCCCTCACTTTTCGCGGAGCCCCCACAAAGGCTTTGAGTATCACTGAATTAGAAGAATTATTTAAACTGATTGAACAAGTACAAGAGAATTTATCTCATAAAATAGACAACGCAAATTCTGAGGTTAAATAATTCACTCTTGCTATATTTAATAAAGTAAATGAAACTGACCGTAGAATAGAAAAGCTAGAAACAGAAAATATAAGTTTTGAAAACACGTCTAGAAATAGTGGAGCGAAAACTAAAAAGTCAAAATTTAATCTTTTTTGGAATAAAAGAAAATTCAAAAGAAACAATTGAAGAATTACTAAAGAAAACCAAAACCATTATCACAGCACAGCTCTCTGTGGAATTAGAAAATTTTGATATGGCTAATTTACACCGTCTTGGAAAACAACAAGATAGAACAAGAAACTTTCCTGTCAACAGTACTTTGATCAAAAATACAAAAATAACTAGTCTTTTATATATTCAACTATCAGCCAATATAATTACAATAACGGCTTTTCGATGTCCTCCACGCCACTTTGTCCTGGAACTCAGATCAAACTAACTTGGACCCGGGCACAAAGGTACTTGAGCTTCGAGCGCTTTTCAAAAACCTCTAATGTTCCAGTCTCAAATAGGTAGCTTATCCACCCCGAGGTGTCTAGGTTAATAAATTTAATATGATTTAAATGAACGTATTCAAAATCAATACCTGTACCACACTTTATATTCGAATCGCGCTCGTTGAAATGTTTAAACTTTTTGATTAGTTTTTCGTATGCGCAAAACAATGTTTCGTATTCAGATTGAATTTGTCTGTTATGTCGGATGACGGAATTTAGTGCTTCCTGCAAAGCCGTTTCTTGAACTTTTTCTATTTCTATTTGTTTTAACCACATTTCCATCGATAGGACGTTATTCATTCTTTCTGTTTCCAAGTGTAGTTGTGAATGCAAGCAGAGAGTGTCAACTGAAAATAACGAAAACTTTACGGTTGGATTTCTCTGTATATTTTTTTTAAATTACTACTTACCCAGTTCCTTTTGTAGATTTACGTCGCTAACATATTTTGTAAATATTTGGAGTAAATGTCCTTCACTTTGTTGTAGCCTTGATGCAAGGTTTTGGACGGAAATGAGGCCTTTCATTAACGAACATGGAACTGCGGATTCACTTAATTGTCTAAAATAAGATTAGCATATTTAACAAAAGTAGTGTACATAGAGTATTTTCTAATCAATAAAAAAATACTATTATTGTATAAATGGCAACTTTTTTATGATTTTTCCTAAATCAAATATCTAGAGAAATAGTCAATATTTCGTCTAGTAAAATAGTCATCGCAAATGTAACACGACCTTGAATAATATTCTATTTTTATTGTTGCTAAATTCCTAGAATATTTTACAATTTGATTCGAAATAATTTTGGCATTAATAATCAATTGATTAATACCAAAATTATGTCTCATCAAATTGATATTAAAATGTACTCGAGATTTAGACGCAATAAAAATAGCCGACTATTATCAAAGTTTTGTTATATTACCCTTGACTATAAAATACTCGATAGGGGCATAGTATAAATGAGTATGTTAAAGATAGTTTTTTGATGACCACTACTCAAAATCACGTATTTCGTTCTGTTTTTTTAAACGTCAAAGTAAACAATTCCTTACACATCCATAAATAATGCGGGAATACTATTCCACACAATCATTCCACACTGTTTAGTGGATTTATTAGTACGTATGAATAAAAAAAGTAATTCGGCCATTACGAAAAGAATAATTTTGTTCCAAAATACACTGCTCAACAATTGAAGTGGATATTTTAAAATTTTGTTTTTTTGTCAATAATTTAAAATAAAATAAAAAAATCATGTAACATAGAAAATATTTTATTGATTATAAGTATAACTGAAAAGAAAAACCATTTAATTGACAATTACAGGAAAATTAAAAAATTTTAAGAAGTAACAACAAAAAATTCTTGCATTGCGCACTTTACAAAATCCCTATAAAAAAAATAGACCTACCCTGGCTCGTCATAGTGCTGTCACGCTATTTGGCATACTCTCTATTAAATTATTGAAAAATTGCTGAGGTATTGTTTCTCAAATTGCCTGCAACACATTACCCAACTGTTCTAAGGTTTGGGGAGGCTGTTGACTTCGATTTAATCGCCTAGACATTTCAGCCCAAACATGCTCGATACAATTTATATCTGGTGAACAGGGTGGCCAATCCATTCTTGTAATTAAATGATGTTCTATGCGATCGTCTACAATTCTCGTACGATCAGGACGAGCATTATCGTCAATAAAAACAAATCGTTCATCTATTGCATCAATAAATGGTACAAATATCGGCTCTATAACCCTGTCTCGATATCGTATGGCAGTCATTGTCTCATTAGTTAAGACCTCTAAATCAGTGCGACCATTATAATATGCCTCTCCAGACGCAAACTGATCCACCATTAAAAAGAGTTGTTGGGGCCATTAAATTTTCATTGTATCGTTGTCCTCTTTCTCGCCATACCAATATTTGGCCATCACACGTATACAAACGAAATATGAACTCGTCGGTAAAGAGGCAGTGCCTCCAATTTTAAAAAGTTCAAAAACTGTGTTATTCCGCACACCGATATCGGTATGCACGCTGCTTCGCCGTCAGTCTTGGGTGTATTGTGCGACGTCTAGCTCTTAAGTTACATGCATGCAGTGGCGTGCCGTGACATTTTTGGAAGTGATTGTATAAAAATACAGCAGGCCAGTAAGCACAGCGCCGCAGGTGATCGAAAATTGCATGTTTAAACTTCCCTTTCACTTTAGCTTGAAGGCCTCCTAAATGGCCAGCCATTACGGCAGCATCATCGTAGCTCTGGGCAACAAGCTTAGAAACATAATCTAAACTTGAAATAATGTCATAAACAATTTTAAACAATGCATTTGCAGTTCGTTCGCTAGTGACGTTCAAAAATCCTAAGAATCACTTTTGAGGAATACCCTCCAATACATATCGCACAACAATGGATAATTGACTTAAGTTTGCTTCATCTGTGGTTTCATCAAGCGCAATTGATACGAAAGGTGCTTTTTGAATTTCACTTTTAATGTGATCGTCGAATAAATAAAATTATTTTTTAGGGTATCATCGTATTTTGCTAAAAAACTTAGAAGGTCCATGTAATTTCCTCGATTGGTGGATCCATTTGCTTCATTGTGACCCCTAAAACTTAGTTCATGCTTTTCCAGGAAACAAGTTACATCTATTAATTTTTGTAAGACGTCCCTATTTTTTATACCCTTTCATTGTGAATTTTGTTGCTTATTTTTAAATGATTGTCCAAACTATGTTCAATGCGATAGGTCCCGAATGTTTTTTCTTTAATTGTAGCACCTATATGAGATTTGCTATTTACATGTCGTTTTACACTTTTGTATAAATTATTCAAGTCTGTAATACTGACTGAGTTCCAATCCAATGTATTTTTTCGGCTATATTAAAAAGTAGACAAGGCCAGCAAAACAATTTCTTCAAAGTTTTGCAGCCGGTTAACCATTTATACTTTTCATAGAACCTTACGTGAAAATGCCTGGTACATTTCTTTACTGACTTTTCTACTTTCTAAATTGGTAGGATCCTTTAGTCTACTAGAATTAATAATGTCCGTTTTCTCTTCGAAATTTCCACTTGAAAATCCTTTTTTCAATAAAGAGCACACAATACAGATACAATTTACCATATTATTATTGTTCACAGGCACAGTGCATAGTTCCTCCATTTTACAAAAAGAAAAACAACTACGAAAAACAAACCGAAATCTATCTGAAGTCTACGATTTTCCTCACACGTCGATTCGCGGTGCGAATTGCAATATGCGTAAGGCGGCGTAAAAATTGCTGCCTCTTGACCGTATTTCACGTGTACAAACAGACTGATTACTGTCACGGCAAAGCAGAGTGCTTTCTCCGCTTCCATGGACCGTACGCATGCAACCTTCTTCTGATAGTTTGACTAGAAATTACTCGTCCAGTATCTTGTCTGACGAAGGTGTTAATTCTTGAAGCCGTAAATGTTCGGATTTTTCTCGCATTCAGTACTATAAAGCAGCCTTGAGCACGAGTTGTAGCTCGTTCCCGTCCTCCCCCATGTGTGTACGCTGCAGACCAAGTTGCTTGATACCGATTCCAAGCATGACTTACGACACTCTGAGACACATTCAGCCGCGTGGCAACTTCTTCTTGAGACAAACCTTCCTCTATCCAACGCACTAATTGCTGCAGTTCTTTAATCGGCGTAGCGGCATATTCTTTACTCGAATACACAAAATTATTGATAAAAGTAACAGAACAAAGCAAGAACAAGCTCTTCTGCACAATTGATACGTTACGATTTTTGAACAACCTTTCTGCAATTTTCGTGAAAGAGATAAGAGCATTGACAACGAACAATAAACATGCAAAAAATATTCACTTATTGATAATACAAAAAAATTTTTTTTTAATATTATATGCATATAAATTTCAAGATTTTAGCAATTATCCAGTTCAATTGTTAAGCAGTGTATGTACGTTAAATAAACAATAACATGTGTAATGTTGATTGCTCAGATATACTGAGCGACAACAAAGGGACTTAGTTGATATGTTTTTTATTTATAATTCTTGATAGTTTTGGCCTTTACTTGGTGAAAGTTTATTTTGCAATACTGTCATATATTATTCGGACCGAAAAAAGAAATATAAACACGGTCTTAGTCCATAGCTCTCTGAAAGTCTAGATACCGCTATGGATATGCTGTAAGGTACTTTTAGACGGTCAGATCAGTTCTCGGTTCAGTCTCAGTTTCAGTTCAGTTGTCAGTTAAGGTTTGTTTATAAATCCGTTTAATTGACAACTGATTCGATAACTTTTGGTATACCCATCGAGCCACAGCTCCGTATTAGTTTCAATTTTTCTTACAGTTTTTTGTGTTTACACATACAGATAACTGACAGTTCGACTGAAACTGCGACTGAACGGAGGACTGATCTGACCGTCTAAAAGTACCTTTAGACGATCAGATCAGTTCTGGACAAGAAGCCATCAAAGTACATGATTTATCATCTATTTATATTTATGATTAATGTAATGTACTTAATATTAATTGTTGTGAAAAGTACGTTTAAAATTAATATTAAAAATAGATTTATTAGTTTCGCAAATTATAAAAAACATTTTTATTTTATTCATTATGGTTGTAGAAAAAACTATTTATGCTGAAAACCTATTTCACGTGTGATTGTGGCACTTCATTCGTTCTTGTAACACGTTCTATAAATCGTGTGAAATAGGTTATTTTCTGCAATACTTTACAATAAACTATTTTAATATGTCACTAGGCTTGGATTATTTTCTGACTTAAAGATTAAGAACATAAAACAATTGATAAAATGTCCCTAATCAAAATTAGAGAAAAAAAAATAAATTTACATGAATGATGTAGGAATGCACTGTGGTCTTTCGTTCTGTTCGGCCTTTTCCAAAGAAAGTCTTATTTGTGAAACGGTTTGAACCATTTTATTGCCACCTTCAATTGTATGCACGTTTCTAGATTTTTTCTTACTATCACCTATCTTACAAAATTTGCTGAAGAATCTACGCTTAATTTTTACTGAAGAAACCAGAGACTGCTAAAAAAAATAATTTGTATAAATTTACTTTACTTGGTTAACGTCTGATTATCAATCCTGTGTACCACAAAGGTGATCGTTAAATTTTGTTTCTGCGACTATCGTCATCTACAATGGCATTGTACTTTCATCTAGTGTCTACCAATGAAATTGGTTTCTCTTTTATATGAGAAATCACAAATTACTGCACAGTATATTCTGCAAGATCATTTGTAGCTTAAATCAGTTAGAGTAAACTATTTTTTATATTTAACAACCTTCGGAGTCCCCGCACTATCACCCTTATTCGTTTGAAGCGTGGCCGCATTGCAGCATGCGGCTTTTTGTACCATCATTTGAAGGTCCTTTTACTTTTCTATTCACTCACTCGTTCACTCACTCATTCATTATACATCGTCAATGGATGGCTAAGTTTCATGTTGAAACTATCCATGGTGGAGATTCTCAGCCGTCATCCATCCACAATGTGACCGGAGAGATAACAACTTAACTGTTAAGAGAACGTGGACACTAATCTAGAGGCTAGCCTCTCCTGGCAATATTTATATTTACCTCAGAGTCTGACGTTTCAGTTCTTTTAATTCCAATTTCTTTGGTGACAATATTATCTTGATTATCATTTTTTTCTGGAGTTACTTCAATTTCTTCGCCAGAACGACTCGCAATTGTCGAATTGCTATTGATATATTTTAAATTGTTTAGGTTTTGCAGCGTTTTTATTTTCTTGTCCAATTTTTTTGATTTTAATATTTTTCGGTGGACAAGAGCTGAGAGTAAACTATGAGATTTTTGTGGTTTTGAGTTAGATGTGACATCTAAGGGATCGGTTTCGATTATGTTGTCATAGGATTTTTTATTGATGAAAATTTGTTTAGAACTACACGCTGCAGATTCGGTCTGAAAAAAAAAATAATAAAAATTTAGTGTCAAAATAATTTTTGTCACATTTGGATAATTAAAAATTAATCATTTTATATGAAGCATCGATAAAATTTTATTTAAAATCACTGTTTGTAATTGGACAGACTAGTTCAATCGTGAATGAGAGTTTACTCCTGTTTTCCCACTAGCGCCAGTAAATAATAAAATAGTTCACATGACAAACAATTATTACAATTATTTTGTAAATTAGGAAATTAAAAATCAATAGAATTTATTAATTCAATTCACTATATTTGAGATTCTCTCTATTTGATATAAATTGTCAAGTTGTTATTTCAGTCAGTTAGTTGTCAGGTTGATTTATTCAATAGTTTATGCTGATTAATATTAATGCTGTAAAGCTTTTTTTTTTCTTTCTCCTGGACTCGTCTATGTGTCTCCGAATAACACTGAAGCCTATTGGCTTATTGTGTTTTACCCCATGTTAGTTCATAGCACCCACTCTGTCACCTTTGTACCTTGTACAAGTTTGTACAGATCCTTGGGTGAGTGGGTTCTATACGTTGTTGGATCAACCTGGGGTTGTCCAAAAAGAGCCTGTCTTTTGCGATATAGAGCTTCGCATTCGCACAGTATGTGTTTGGCCATTTCTGGTTTCTTGTGACATAGCTCCCCATTGTACATGCCAATTTTTTTTCAAGTGCCTCTTTACTGGGGCGTGCCAGTCATGAACCCTGTTATCACTTTCAACTGGTTCCTATTCATTAAGAGTAGTTCTCCAGTTCTTTTGGGACATGGTCTGCCTATGAAGGCTTTTCCATGTGCCTGTTTTGGGGTGCTTCCCCAATAGTTGATATGTTGTTCCCGAATCCAGTCGTTTATGAAACCCCGGACTGTACTTTTTGGTACTGCTGGGTTTGTGTCTGGTTCCGGTGTTTCTTCTGACCCTGTTTTTGCAAGTTCGTCAGCCTTTTCGTTGCCTTCGATCCCTTGGTGACCTTACATCCTAAATAGTTTTACTCTATTTCGGTCTGCCAGTGTTCTTAGTTCTTCGATGCATTCCCATACCAGCCTCGACGTAACTTTCTGACTTGATATGGCCTTAAGTGCCGCTTGGCTGTCTGACTTTATTTGAATATGCTGATTTTAATAAAGGTAAATCGTTCACTTCGTTTAATTATTACAACAATATGATATTAAACAATACAATTTAGGGTCGATCTTTTCACCTCTGAGTAAAGTTATAGGTAGGTTTACTTGACAGATTAACAAACAGTAGCCCTATAGTTTAATTATGAAGGAGTTACTTTCAACTTTACTCAGGATGAAAAGACTGGCCCTTAGACCTTAAAATATGGCTAGCAAAGATTTTTAAATTCTGTCTGCGAATTCGTTCTCAGCGACCTCAAAACCTAATCAAAAATACTTTGTCAAGTTATTGTGTTTATATAAAACCATTATTTATTTTTGTACATCTTTATTTTAGTTGGATACTAAAAACTGACTATTATTGTTATTAGACACTAATTCAGTGAAAAGCTATCATTTTTTTTTCTTACTTTGGTACAAGCATTTAATTTGGAAAATAAGCAAATGCCTACTTACGCATCAAATTAAATCAATAAAACTTTGGAGAAAAAAATGGCCCAGCGAAATTGGTGGAGAAGGTGAATTTTGTGAAACAAAAACTTGAAAATAAACCAAAAATCATCCATAAAAAAATAAGTCACATGCATGCCCACACATGAACTACTTTAAAACGTCAACTGCTTTAAAAATATTTTTATTTTAAAAACCTATATCTTTTTACCAAGATAGTCAAAAAATTAAGCGTTTTTCTAGAAAATTTTATAATTTCTTGATTAAATTACATTAGTTTTTAAAACATATGATAAAAACCGTTTTCGAGGTATCTTGAAATAAATGCATTGTTTGTGTACATGACAGGCTTCAAGAGTGTTAAATATGCACATTTTGATTTTTAATATCTGGTTTCACAGACGGTCAAAAATTTTTTTTTTTGTTAGTTACGTTAAACATATTCCATCTAACCAGATAGGCTAGTTGCGAGACTAGTTTTCGTGGATGTGTAACGGCGTAGAATGAATGAGTGTATGATGAACGTGATGGAGTTGGGCATCCAAATGGTAGCAAAATTAGCATTTCAAAATAAGTTATACGCCCTCTGGAGGAAATTTGTAAAAGTAGGACGTTCTTCAAGATTGTCAGGAGTAGCGGAATTTCGCTAAATCGTCGAATTTCTGGCCTTGACGAAGTAAAAAGATCTTTTTTTAAATAGTTAAATTTGTGTCTAGCATTATGTAATTATGCTCTATCTTTGTTTAAGGTTCTTGATAAAACCGATTTATTATAATGATTTTTTTTAATTTCAGTTCATTTTACAATTTTGGTCATCATCTGGTAACATTGGCGTTCGTGTTCGCTGTTTTTATTTTAACTTGTAGCAAATATAATTCGAATTTTTCTTACTTGTGAGCAATAAATTTGTTTATTTATTATAGTTTGTGATAGTGTTTGTATTATTACGCAGGTTTTTGGTAACTCAATTTATTTTAACTCAACTTTTACAATTCAACTATTCAACTGATAACATAAATGTATAACGTCTATCATAAAATTGAAACTCTGACGTCAGGATTATCGACTTATATAGCTCTCCTTAACTTTCTAGAACCTTCTCGAACTATCCAGATTTTTCTTAACAGGGAATGACATTTCAAGACATTTCTGGAACATTTCATCTTCTTCTTTCACTCATACTTTTACTTCAGCACACTGTAGGGTGATGAGTGGCATTGAACTTCTTTTTGTATTAATACGTTTTCTATAACAGGCGCAGGCCACTGAAGGATGAAGGGTAACATTGCTCTCTCTTCTCTAATTAATAATCCCGAATAACTAGATTACTGGGACCTGGTTGGTGCCAATGGGGAGGATTAGGACCACGGTATGGCACTAACTTTTCAATGTAAACTACCTTGTGTTTACTTCCTGCTGAAAACTGAATACGGTAGATCAGGCAGTTGATTTTATTAAGGACAGAGTAGGAGCTTTCCAGTTCCGTTGCAGTTTCTGACAAAGAAAACCATACTGGATCGCCTCTCTCAAAATGTATTCCTGTGGCATGCATGACGATTGTAGCTTTTGCTTTATCGCTATTGACTTTCAAACGTTGCCAAGCGAATTTGTATATCTTCTCCAATCTTTCTCTTAAGTTATGTATGTACTTCACCAACAATAAGATAATGGGGAAGTTTCATCCCCCTTCCAGTAATCATTATGGATGGAGTATAAACTAGCCGATCCATGTTAAGAATTTCAGTAGGCTAGCAGGAATAGAAGTTATAAAGTATCCCAGTCCTTTTGATTCTCAGAGACGAACATTGAAAGATTCTGACATATAGTTCTATGGTGTCTTTCTACCATTCCGTGAGACTGTGGGTGGAGATGCGTAGTGCGTGTTTTTCTGATGCCTAACAGTTTTAACAATTCTCGTCCTAATTCGAATTCAAAATTTCGTCCTTGGTCAGAATGCAGTTCCAAGGGACTGCATGTCTCGCAATGACATTCGTCATAAATGCTTTCGCTATTATCGTCGCTTCCTGATTAGGTGTACCTAAGCGCTATTTCGGGCCACTTTGAGAAATGATCAATAATAACCATTATGTATTTGTTTCCCCTTTGTGTTAAGGAAATGTACCGTGACGTTTTACCTTGACTTCTTGTTTTGGGCCCTTTTCTGCCATTATATACGTCACATTCCCTACGTTAATCTTCTACATCCTGTTGGCAATTGACTGAACTCGTGCAAGTGTCCTTTTAGTACAAACGTGTCCTACGTGAACGACTGCTATGAAGCTCCTCCAACATATATTTGACCTGTAATTTTGGAAATATTACTGGGCGGACTAAATGTACTCCATCGGAGCTCTCCCACTTCCAGTGCAATAGGCCATAGTAAGGATACAGGAAATCCCACTAAGTCCAGTACCCTTTAATGGTTTCACTATATTTGACTATCTCTTGCCATATAGGTCCGATTCCATTTTTCAGCCATTCTCGGACAACCTTCAAGCCATTGTCTTTCTTAGGCTTTCATGGGCGATTCCATCTTCTTTATCCTCTGTCTTGATAAGACTAATTTCTTCAACCAGCTCCTCTCGTTCTTTAAGCCTTTTAGTGTACCGGCATTGTCGTGGGGGTGGATAACTGTCTTTTTGCGTTACCCGATTTAATCTTCTATAGTTAGTCCAGGGCAATTAGATCAAAATAGACCGGAATAGCGGACATTTTTAGTGACAGCAGATATCGAGATGCGGTTTTCTGCATTGTGTTCAGGACGGTCCCAGGAAAAAAGTCTATATCGTCTGGTTTAGCTATTTTTTGAAAAATGCCTTCTGGGCCGGAAAATGCATTTTCCAATTGCATCATTATTTGCACCATTACAGGAATGAATGGAAACTCGGAAAAATAGCTCGGAAATCGTTACTCGGGGATTTTAGAGACTGCTGAACTGGATTCTGGCATTAGAATTACCTGGGCGTGGCTCTGTGGGGGTGAGCGGAGAGTGAATTGTGGAGAAATGGCAGCGTGCATGAAAATCGCTCTAAACTCGTTACTCGGGGGTTTTCGGGGATGCCGAATTTAATTGTGGCATTGAAATTATCCGAGGGCGTTCGGTGGCGGCTCTGCGGGGGTATCCTTGGGTAATTCTGGGGGGAAATTGCATAGTTCGTGGGAATCGCTCCAAACTCGTTACTCGGGGCCGAACAGAAGTAGCGTACACTGTAACCGTTTCCAGAACTAAGCTTCTTCGAGTTGGTCGTGGTTTTCGATGCAGGATCACTGTTCGAATGAAAGACTTGGTTGAACCAGTATCAAGGATGAAAGTGTCTCCTTGATTATCGATATACAACCAATATATTTTGTTTGTTTTTATTTAAGGTGTGAGTGCAAATTTTGGGGCCCTCTGATACAGCCGACCCTGCCCCGTAGTATCGACCTTTATTAGTGTTCCTGATTATTGCTAGAAAACCGGCTAGGTGTGGGTGACCGGTTTCTCCGGGAGGCATATCTACTATTATTATTTCTTGTTGGACTTCGTGACGGGCTTCGGGAGGTTGATTTAGTTGAATTTCTGGCATCATTCTCCGATTCGCGATTCATAAAAGGGGCGTTTGATTTGAAACTCGATCGAGCGAGCGTCGCGGAGACCGAGAAGTAATGACGTCACAATAGAGCATTGAATCAAATCAAATAAAACAGAGTAAAAAACATAACCTCGCCTTTTTGTGATTCTTATTTCTGGTTTGTGTGTCAAATTCACAGGTCAAAATAGTGAGCAAAAAGTAAAGAAAATGGACACACTTTTAATAATAAGGGGTAATGCCCTGAAATGCAGCATATACCACAAATGCCCGCTTCGCTCTCATACTCCATGCCTGTGATTACTGGTGATTAAATCTGGACAGAGAAAATGTATTTTCCAAACACACATTTTGTGTTTTTTATGACAAATAATTTTATCTATAAGACAAAAGCGACTAAGTAATTTGTTGACTATTTGTCTGGTCTTTAATTTTGAGATTAAAATTTGTTTGTAAGTTAGTTAAAAAGAGCTAGGTAGAGACAAAGACAAATTTCTCCCTCTTCTCGATCCATCTGCTCTGAGAACATCGAGCTCGCTCTATGTTCTCGCTCCAGAGCAAAACAAACACTTTAGGGATCTCTCGGAGTGTCAATTCAAACACGTTTGCAGCGCTCGGAGATCTCCGATGATCAAATCAAACGCACCAAAAACGAGTCCTGCTTCGACAGGTTCTTTGAAGGCGGTCAGGCAAGACGTTGCTTTTGGCATACCAATTTGTAGCTTTATTCTAATTTGTCACAGATAATCCCTTTTCTAAACGCTTCATTGCTTGGACCAAAAATAACTGATTCAGTTTATCTGAGACAGGTATTTACTTTTAAAAGTTAGTTACACTTGATCAGTTTACTTTCTTAAATAAAACAAATATACTTCAACTAAGTACAGCTGGCACTTTTCTGCAATTTGTATTTATCTGAACAAAGCTACGGGTTGTTAGAATAGTCTGTGACGCTAAACTCATAGTCTGCTGAGCGCTGAGCGCTGCGCATGTCCGTTTAAATCTAATAATATAAATACTATAGAAATGGTTTGTTAAAAAATCAGCGCAGTTAGGGAGACAGTGGTGTAAGTCGACAGCTTACTCTACTGATAATAAAAATAACCATTTCCATATTAGACATTTCTTCTCAGTACCTATGTAGCCGAAAGGCACACTCAATCATTATAAAAAAATAGTATAGTTAGTTTATTATTGAAAAGTAATTTTGATTTATTATAAAAAACTACTTTAAATTAAAGCTCTACTCGAAAAATACGGCTAATATTAAAATCTGTTTTTGTTAGTAGTCGAAGTTAGCATTAAAAGGTTTTGAACTGACCAATCTAGCATTTTGTCTTTTAAATTATAATAATTCTCTGACATAAACTTAGCAACACAAAAAATGGTATTTACTTACCTGGTTGTTCAATTTTTCCTTATCCATTCTTGTATCTCTCTTTTTCTAATTTAAAGTATAAATGTATAAATGTATATAAAATTACCGACACACAATGACAAAACAAATTATTTTTTTTTGCAAACCGTCAAGTTGTCAATTTGACAAATTCCAAGGCTACTGTTACCAGTAAACAGGGTGTTTTTTTATAGGTATGTCGGATAAACTTCGGTAGATGATTTCATTATGGACTTGAAAAAATAAAAAAGTGCAACTACATCAAAAACCTTTTACGTTTTGAGATAAAAGAGTTTAAATTTTTAGAAGAAATGTATTGTGCAAGTGCGAAAAATGCTGATTTCGTACGTGTTTAAAAAAGTTGTGGCATTTACAACCACACTATTTGATAAAACTTAAACATTTATTAAGTTTATCTCCAAACAAATATGTATTACATTAATAAATTTCATATTTTCAGGTTTATTTAGTTAACACTAACTCTTTATTGCCTATATTATTGAAACTATTTGAAAAAATGCACATGAAAAGGCTGAAACTATTATTGAAGAGAGGAAACTAATTCCATATTATCAGATCGGCTTTAGAGAAAACCATTCAACTATAGATCATGTTAATAGAATCTCAAATGTAAGTGAAAAATCATTAGAAAACATAACCTCTATTCCGCTACCTTCCTTGATGTTGCTTGTGCAGGATTTTTATAAAGTATGGGATGATGGTTTAAAACAAAAACTGAATGGGCTACTTTCACAGTCATTGAATTAATAAATTTCGATGATTTATTACAAACTTGTGACACATCTCAACTTGAATAAGTCACAAAAGTTACATTTTCAGCTGATACTGCTATCCTAGTGATAGACAAAGATCAAGAAGAAACTGCAAACATTAGGTAACTGCGCCAGAAGATAGCATCTTAAAGTAATTGAAACTAAATATGATAATGTTAATTTTATCAACTGAAATGGTCAATAAATACCAATTAATATTATTAATGCTCAGAGGGGGGTTATGATTGACAACTTGTGTTATTTTTAACAGGTCTGTTATTTTATAAACACACAGAAATTACAACCTGTTCACAAATAACGTGTCTGTTAAAAATAACATTACTTGTCGATCATAACCCCTTAAATCAGTTAAATATCCAGGCAACATTAGATGCAGGATTTCGCTGAAAGGTTCATGTTAAAAAAAAGACAGGAGCTGGTTATAAAATTCAAGAAAATGTACTGGGTATTTGATAGAAATTCCAGCCAATCTACATATAACAAAGTTGTTTTACATAAACAAAATCTCAAGCCAGTTTGATCTTATGGCATTCAGCTCTGAAAATGTGCCAGAAACAATAATATCCTAATAATCAAGAGATCCCAAAACAAAGTATTGAGGAACATTGTCAATGCTCCTTTGTTAACGCTGTTGGACCAGACTAACATCAGATTTGCTTGGAGTCATAAACAACGGCTCTATCAACATGTGAAGGTTGAGGCGATCCAGCTTTTAACACCAATCTCTTAAGAAGACTTAAGACAGTGATACCTTTTGACTTAGTTAAGTGGTTGTTTTAGTAACAAGGCAGAGTATTTGGCGGTTTAATATTACAACTCAGTATAATTAATAATAGAGTAGCGATAGCTAGAGTCGGCTTCTTTGATGTCGGAGTGGTCAAATTTTAATTAACAGTTGACGTTTTTCCGCTTATTTCTACACTGAAAAAAGTAACTTTAAAATATCTTGCCCCTCTATCTGTTTGAATAAAATATCTTACAATAAATGAAAGATGAAAAATATGTCTAAATATAATAAAAATATATTAAAATGTGCATTACAACCAATCAGATAATCAAAACAATCAGCCACAAATTAACCCATTGGCAATTTATATATTCCAATTTGACGGATTTGTCGCTTATTTACGGACATCACATACTTTGATTACTATACGGGGCAAGAGAGAGGTCCGACACGCATAACATAGGGCGCGGCCATTTTGAACCCTATGACACAGTTTATAGCTAAAGAATCAGATCGCTCACTCTGCGTCGGCACTTTTTATCTCAATGTTCCAGTTTATACACTGCGCAACTCAGATAATACAATATATGACAACCGCCTATAATAAAACAGCAGTTTTCTGCGTATCCTGAATTTGTATCCCTGGAGTGGATGTTATTTTGGAACTTTCAACTGGTCCGAGTGAGCTAACTGATTCTTTAGCAATAAACTGTGACTCCAAAAATAATATTAACTGACACTGACAGCAGCAAGCAAAATATCAGGGGCGTTTTAATCATCCGCTTCTGCTTCCGGAATTGTCGGTTCAGTCGTTCTAACCTGTCAGATTAAAACAAGAAAACCGACAATTCCGAAGCAGAAGCGAATGATTAAAACGCACCTATTAAAAATATTGCGCCAAGATGTAGGCAACACGTAATAAGAGTTCAAAATGGCGGAGTTTTCTCTCTCCTTTATGGAGGGTAGAGGAAAGGAGAACAATCTCTGTATACAAAAAGTGTCCCTCAAAATGTATACAATTAAGATGGCGCTTCTGTGCACAGGGGACGTCGACAGTCGATAATTCAGATCACACAATGACACCAATGATGTATATAGTAATAAATATTGCTCAACCATAAAAAACTAAAAACTACACCGTGAAAAGTGACTGATCGTAGAAGAGTAAGTGTTCTGTGATCGTAGATAAATTTTGACAATACACGACAATAGTCAAATTTTATTGAAAAATAATAATATAAACAATAAATAATTCTTATATTAAAATGGCACGGAGGTCTCAATTTACTGCTTCCTGTCTGATTTAATTATGAATGAGCAATCTATATGACTATATAGCATTGGATTTTGTCCCCTGGCTACATGGGCGCCATCTTAATTGTATACATTTTGGTGGCCACTTTTTAATATAAAGATCCACATAAGATTGTCCTCCTTTTCTCTACCCTCCATACTCTCCTTTTAAAAGGCACTCAGAAAGCTGCGCAATGCGACCATTCTCCGTATAGTAAAAGAAAATCAAAGTATGTGACGGACATGCACAGAAAAATATGGAACCTTCATAAACAATGAACTGTCGCTACTGTATTATTACTTATACTAGGGTTACACGTTAATTTAGTGTAATTTTCAGACCCTAAGGTATACTAGTGAGCAGTTTTTTAAAAATGCAACTTTATTTAAATTAGGTTAGAATAAAATTACTCATTGATCAAATTGTAATATAAGTAAACGCTCCCCATGGAACAATTGTTCATAAAAAAATTCGTTTATACTGAAAAAAGTTACTAAAAAGTTACTTATATGCCGTTCAGATGCAAGATACACTGGTTTGATTAGGTGATATGATTTTATGTAATGATAAACAAAAATCACTCATTTCAATTTTGTATTTAGCCTTATTTTTTTTCTTTGTGATATTGGAGTTATATTGCAAGAATAAGTAGAAATAAAAGAATAATTGGAAATATAGTATGAAAAGAAGGTTTTTTGTACCTCAGTGACTAAAACATTCATTTTATTCCCCCCTTTTAGGGACTAAAGTGCCACTTTTACTCACTTGGGACTAAAATATTTTAGTCCGAAGGGATTAAAAAATTTTAGTTCCGGAAATAACAAAACTAATAGAAACCATAGCCAGTCCCGTAGCCAGGTGGGGGCCAAGGAGGGCGCTTGCCCCTCCCGTCCCCCTTGCTAGGCGCCCCTTGCCGCCTATATATAGAATAAACAGTTACTTTTATTACACTCTGTAACATTCGTTGAAATTGAAAAATATTTGGCAACATATTTTTAAAAAACAACACCGTATTTGTTTGAAATGCCTCTAAAATTATTTTTTCTAATTTTGACATATAAAGTGACATTTTTTATAATCGCAGCAATTGTCAAAATTATATATTTTACGCAACCAGTTGCATAATGTTGAACATTATGAAACTGGTTTAACCACAGAATACTTTTACAGAAGCGAAGGCATGTCAATTTTTGGGGTCCAAAATTTTTTGCGCATGATCAGGGCCGCCATTTTATAACCGGCAAAACTGTCATGTCACGAGTGTTGTTTTGATGTGTCAGGATCAGTCATTTGTAATTTATGATTTTTTTTATCGAATTTAAGTGTCTTTAGTGTTTTCCTTTGTATATTTTTTAACAATTATTGAGTAAATCTGTGTTTAAATCTGTGCTTTCCTTTGTCTATTTTATGAACATTGTTCAGTAAACATGTTTTTAATCGAAGACTTTTTGTGGTATGTGCTGAGCTATTTACATATTTTTATTTATTTTATTAAAGCAAAATAATTTTTTAGTGAACTGATGGAATCTAAAAGAAAGAGATGTGTTTATCGCCCATGTCTACCTCGAACGGATTCGAATACTAGTTATTTTTTATTTTCCAAAGTTTCAGAAAGGTATGCAAAATAAATTATGCAATTTAAATGAGGAAAACTGATAGCTCTACCTAACAAATAGTTTAAATTTTGATCCAGATATCCAAATTTACCAACGTTATGTGCTACGTTTGAAAAGTACCTCGTGGAACGGAGTAGAACTAGTAGATTTTTTTTAATCATGTGATAATCGAGCTTATGTGGAATAAAAGCTATAGATTTGTTTGTGTTTCCGGTTTCCATTAGAATAAACTAAAACCTTTCTTTTAAATCAAATTTGATTTCTCTTCTCCTGCTTTTTGTTGCAAGTTTCAAAATAAACTTCATTTTTAGCTGTGGTATGATTCATCTAACATTTTCTATAAATATTTTTTGCTTTTAATAACCAGATATGTAAATAAGATAAAAAAGAATAAACTGTGACACAAAAGACAACTGTCTGTACATCTCGCAGAAATACATCTACAACTTCAGTTGCTTTTTTCCAGTGAACTGTATAGTTAAAAACAGTTTTCTGCTTTTTTCTTTGTCCATTGTCACATAAATTACATTTACTCCGTAAGCTCTAAAATTTAATTCAGAGGAAATAGATCTTACTTGACTTATCAGTTCTGCATTAAAAGGCCATGGAGCAGATCCCATCGAGAACGGCTTCGAGTAAAATGAGTAAAACGAGGTACTTTTCAAATGCAGCAATGTTAACGGTATGTTATTTATTTGGCTATT